AAAAATAAAACATTTTTAAACAATTTATATATATATATATATATATATTTAAATTGTTTAAAAAAAATTTTTTAAGAGAATTAAAATTACCAAGTTATTAGTGCTTTCTTATTCTCTTTATATATATATATATATATATATATATATATATATATATATATATTATTAGTGCTTTCTTATTCTCTTAATATATATATATATATATATATATATATATTTTTTTTTTTTTAAGAGAACTAAAATTACCAAGTTATTTTGATTAGAGGACGTACTGACGACATTGTGGGCATGTGGGCAAATCTAAATGTGGGCTACCTAAACTAAACCCGCATGGGCCCAAAGGTGCAAAACCTGCTCATGGGCCCGAATGGGATGGGCCATCATGGGCTTAATGTGGGCAGCCCGCTAGTGTGGGCTGCTCACTGATAGCCCGCAGTGAGCCCAAAGCTGTGGGCCTCGTCTGGGCAACCCGCACTGGGCCTGTTTAGGTTTGGCGTGGGCTGGCCCTAGCCCACTGTGCCCACAAAAAGCCAGCGTCGGCCCCGCAGGGGCATGTTTGCAGGGATATTAATCATCGGCTAATTTCAAAATCAGCAAAGACAGCAATAAGAGAGAGTGGCAACAGCCTTGGTTGCCTGGTAAGATCATTTCATTTCTTTACTTTTAATGAAGATAGTGTTAAGCGTCTGCGACTTACTTTCACTTTGATTTGCGATAGATTGCGGCGCTCTGACTTGATAAAGTGGCTCAGCTCAGCTGCTCATCTGAGGTGATGCGTGTCGTCATATATGACTAAAATAACATGACATATAGCCTGCTTCCAACAACCAGATGCATTTACACTTGTCCAGTTTTGTCTGGAATACGGCCCAGACCACGCCCTCAAGTGATTTGAGCGATCGGATTCAAATCCGTCTCGAATGCGTTTCGGAGGGCAACCTGGTCTTTTCACGATCGAATAGCTATCCGATCACAGAAAACGCATGAAGTGACCAGATGTAGGCTAAACAGCTCCTTTGAATCCATCTTCTACTTTTGTGGAAAGTTGACTAAAGTTGTGTCGCTCGAGTTGTCTTCTCTGATACGGAGAATGGCGGCGAATACACTACCAGCAAGACAGGCGAGCGAGAACGCGCATGACGTCACGGCCAGTCTCAGATTCGAGCCCGAATCCCTTTTATTTATTTCACTGTACAGGATTATAGAGGCGATCTCAGTGATCAGAGAAGGGCTCATTCAGCCATCAGGCGATTGTTTAAGCACGTATGGGTTAGAAAACGGCTATTTTTAACATGAAATGTTGCGCAATGCACCTTTTAACTGCTTGGACTATTTCAATTAGTCATGAGCAGTTTCACTACTTTTGCACTTTTGCAATGGTTTTCCTAATATGACAAATGCAACAAAACTTGCGCTTTACTGAAGTTTGGCCGACGCAATCGCCTGAAATATCATTTTAAAAGGTTTTTCCATGCATGTTGGACCAATATTTATGTTAGAGTAGAATAAAAAGAATTATATATGTTATGTGTTTTTTATTTATGGTTGGATCCGGTGGAGCATATACATTTATAAAATATTCATAAGAACTTCACATAAAAATTATAATTCTGTCATCATTTACTCATCCTGAAGTTGCTCTGATTAAACCTGTATGCATTTCTTTCTTCACCTGGACACAAAGATATTTTGAATGTCGGTAACCACAAATATGATGGATTTAATTTATAGCAAATTTACATTTATGAAACCTACTTTATTTTTCTAAAACATCAATTTTACTCTGAAATGTTGGTCTATGTACGTTTGCTCTACAAACACAGAATGAAAACATTTCACAGTTTCTTTTTGCTTTGGCTATTTCCTTCTTGAGATTGCAAATTTTCTAATTTCATAGTTTCCCAAATTGTTCCATAAGCCTGATATTTTAACATTATATTGTTATAATATTTTATCCTTAAATTGATCTTCAAGAAGTGAATTGTTTATTTTCCAGTAGTTAAGTTCCAGTAGTATTTCCTAAGGCTGATAACTATCTGAATCATTTTATGGCCACAGAGGAAACAATGTCAGTCTGCTCTTTCAACTAAGTTCCTCAGAAGTTGAAAGCCAATTCTAGACTGTAAAGATCTATCTTTATTATCTCCAGTGAAGTCTATCTTTTGACGTATGTGCCTCCATTCATAATGACTATTTAATTAGTAAGTAATTTAGATTAAATATTTGCCAGACGTCGTCATACTCAGATTCTAGTCAGTCAATTCACCTTTGGCTAAGCCCCGCCCCCTTAGTTACTGTTGCTACATCCGTCAAACTTCATCTGGGCTCTGCGTGACTTATGTTGTAACAGCTTCCTGCTGAAATGTTATCAAACTTTTAAAAAACAGCAAATAAAGTGTCCGATAGAAGTAGGCAAAAGGGGCTGCAATATGCGTTCATTCAAGACATAATTACAGGTGAAACGCAAGAAACAACAAGGCATCCAAAATAGAGCATAACGTACTGGTCACAGTCAAAAAAATGAACCACCGCATTTCCTACCAATCGAGACGGAGGCTTGGACTAATATCAGGGAGCAACACTGTTCATGCAAAGCTGGGTAGGTCTCTATTCACTTTACACTTCTATAATCGTTATTACAAAGCAAACGGACGACACGAGTAGGCTATAACGTTGTATAGCGTGTGATAGTGTATCAACAACCGGTATGAGAACCGAAATCATAACCTAAAACATTAAAATGGTCTAACTAATATAAATTCACACTCACAGTAAGGTTAGAAGTAAAAACAGATGTGCTTGTTGATCTTTCAGCAGGGTTTAGCTGACTGAGGACATCCACACAGTTTAACGTTAATCCAAAGACGATTGTCAGGATTTGACTTCGGTTTTGGGAAGGGAAAATACGGATACCCCCCTCCAACCTCTCTGGGAAACGCGTATCTGAAATGCCCGAGGCACAACGTTTAACCATATTTTTGAGAAAATTATGACGGTAATAACCTGCCGAGACCAAAAATATGTGACGCCTGTGTTGAAAGTCAATGAAGCGCTGTCAAAAAATGTCCGACCTCTGTGGGAGCTCGTTCTTGGCTGCACTGTGATTGGTCAATCTACATTCTAGGGCGTGGCTTAGCCAAAGGTGAATTGATGTTTTTTTTTTTACTGTAACTTCTAGTTCTTTTTCACTTCCAACAACTTAACGGTATTTTACAGTAAAATTACATTAAATGTACCATTATAGACCATTTCACAAACAACACTGGTCCAGAAGCACTTCCTGTTTCAGTTTTTTAACACTACATAAAAGCTGGGATAAAATACAACCAACGGAACATTTAAAACTGAATCAAAAAGTTAAACAAACATCTTTAAGATGTTTTCTTTGCATGTGAAATAAAGAAAACAGTTACAAACTGAAACAGGAAGTGTTTCAGGACCAGTGTTGTTTACATCTTGTGAAATGGTCTATATATATATATATATATATATGAAGAGTTCAGATGCAAAAGCCTCTAAGTGCCATTTTCTTCTAGAATGATAATTTTTTATCAAGTTAGTATATTTAAGTTCAGTGATTTCACTTAAATGGCAATGATAATTACCTATTAATTCTTATTTAAGTGAAATTACTGAACTTAAATATACAAGTTTGATAAAATCATCATTAAAGAAGAAAATTTCAAATGGCATTTAGAGGCTTTTACATCTGAACTCTTCATATATATATAAAAATGTTACAGTGAAAAACTGTAATATATATATATATATATATATATATATCACAGTTTTTCACTGTAACATTTTTACTGTAGTCTTTTATCATTAAAATCACAATCATTTTTTACAATGTGTGTTCAAATCTCCAAAATTGCCCAACACACCTGCCAAGAAGATTCTTGGTAACTATGAATATTTCTATTATCTGGTTCCGGTTTGGACCCTGGTTAGTGATTGACTCGGGGTGTGTTTTAGGAACTGCGTTTCCCTTTTTGAGCTGTATTTAAGCAGCAGCCTGACCAAACACATCACACTTTTCCAGCTTTGACCAGACGAGCTCATTTTAAGAAGAAATTCGAACTGCAGTCATCCATGTGAGTATACTTTCACTCAAGGACACTACAAGAACATTTAAGATGTAGCAAACAGTTTGTAATATTTTGCATGAGATTATTTAACCCAATTTTCTGGCACTGAATAGTACAAGTTCATTTTTTCCTTTGGCTTGCTCTTTATACCAAAAAAGTAATCGTTTATGTGCATCTAGGCTTATGCAAAATTGATTTGTTGACTTGTAAAAATTGTTAATACATTATGAGCTCAATTCTATTACATTTTGAGAAAATTATTTCATTATCGTGAAGCTCGGCTCGATCGGCCCAATGGAGGCATCCGATCAGCAGGTTAAGGTCTTTTCTAGTGTCAAAGTCTTTTTGATTAAATGCAATACATTTTATCATATGTATTCTCTCGTTATTTCTTCTGACTCCATAAACGAAAAGGTTTTTAATGATATCTGTGCATTATTAAATATAAGTACATTTTTTAACTCTTTACTGGAAATACTGTCAAAGTCAGTTAGAATAATCAAATGTAAGAACTTACAGTATAATGTCAGCTAACTTTTTCATTCCAATTTCAAGATAGTCAAGACAACGAACCCGACATTTAAGAAATACATGAAGCTGAGAGACTCGGTCACTCTCAGCCTCACGGGATCATCTGAGATACAGAAAAGCCCCCAAGCCTTAATGCATTTCATTATATAGGCTAACAATGGATATTTGCATTCAGAAGTTTGCACCTTTTGGGCATAGGAGACTGTTTGTCTAGAGACCACACTTAAAAATAACTCTTAAAAACCTTGTTACCTTTTGTTTACTTATTTGGAAAGTAGACATTTGTAGAAATGATACTAAACATGTTTAGTACTCAATGATAATCATTCACATTAAACCATTCAGGGTAATCTCTGCAAGGGCGAAGAATGAGGGGGAGAAATGTAAATTAGGATGAGGGAGGTGAGAGCTTTGTCTCAATAGTGCACGAGGGGGACTTCAAATGTTAATTTTCAGCCTCAACCAGTCTTACAATTTTGAACATTAATTACATTATTATCACATTATATGCCGTTATTACATTCTGAGTTGCTACACACTAGAGCCCGACCGATAAAGGATTTTGAAGTCCGATACTGATACAAATATTTATTGGTTTTAAAATCCGATATTCCGATATATCGGCCGATATTTTTTTTTTAAATTATTATTTCAGAAACGCGCAACAAATTGTAAAACATACATTTTCAATATAACAGGCCAAGAAGAGATGATACGTCTCATTGCTAAAACTGTCGCGCGCTATTAAAAAAAATACATCAGTCACATTGTCAAAAGTTAAAAGGTCTACACTGTAACAACATAACGTAACTATTACTAGCTAATTCCGCTTCACTCTCGGCTTATTTAACAGCAGCAAAACTGGACATGACAGTCACAGGAGAACTGATGCGGATGGTCTTTCAATTGTTATTCAAGCAAAGTATGTCTCGTGACCAACTCAACGAGTGTTGCCGACAGGGACGGTGTAGAGTGCCCTCTGGTGGACAAGCTATACAACTCCAACACTCATGACATGGTTCAAGCGGATTTTATTTTTTAAATATTCATTTATCGGCCATTATACCTGCCGATACCGATAGTGTGGAAAATGCCTAATATCGGCCGATAATATCGGCCTGCCGATATATCGGTCTGGCTCTACTACACACTGCAAATAGACTATACAACTGATGCTAATTATAATCTGTGATAATTTTCAGATCAATTCAAAGATGTCCTACCCAACAACTCTTCATCAAATTGGCGGAAATGGAGGTCATGCATTTTCATTGACTGGGAAGAAGAACGGTGCCAGTTTAGAGAAGATCGGGGTTTGGGTTGGAGAATGGCAGGTGAAGGCTGTCAAGGTTTGGCTTTCAGACGGCAGAAGCGAAACCTTTGGAAAACCAGCCGGAGATCATCAAGAGTTCAAGTTCCAGCCTGGAGAGTGTTTCACCTCACTGGCCCTGTGGGGGAACGGAGAAGGAAGACGTCTTGGAGCCATCAAATTCAAGACCAGCAAGGGGAGAGAGTTTTTTGCCAAGATGAAATGGGATTTAAAAACAAAATATCCCATTGATGTCGGCTCTGGGTATTGTTTGGGCGTTGAAGGAAAGTGCGGGGCAGACATTGACAACATGGGATTCATGTTTCTCAATGCGGTTCAATCAACAGATCTCACCAATGTCAAATATCCCACTATCAACCAACTGATCCCACAGGTGGCCGTGGAAGAAATCAAATCCATCTCTTACAGGAACGACTCCTCCATCCCTCAGAAACAAAGAGTTGAAACCTCAAAGAAAATAACCAAACAATCCTCATGGTCTGTGAGTGAAAGTTTAACAACAACATTCAGTATGGAGGTGAAGGCTGGGATTCCAGGGATTCTAGAAGTTTCTGCAGGATTCAGTGTCACTGTTGGATCAGAAAGCACTTACGGTCAGACGCAGACAGATGAGAGAACCGAAACTCTGTCTACCGATGTAGAAGTGCCACCAAGGAAGAAGGTGAAGGTTGTCATGACCATCGGCAGAGCCACCTTTGACCTGCCTTACACCGGCACAGTGAAGATCACCTGCAAGAACGGCAGTGTGTTACAGTATGAAACCAAGGGCACATACAAAGGCGTCACTTACAGTGATATCAAAGTGACCACTAAAGAATCCGATCTGTGATGTCAAGACAGATTGCACATGTAACACAAATGATCTTTGATTCCATCTGATTTCGTTGCTTTAAATTTAGGCCTCAATGTAATCTTTTGGTGGGTGTTTGGTTGTTCAGGGAAAATTTATAACCAACATTGTTGTTCTCAATCTTATATGATACCAATACATAAATATTTACAATTGTGTACTCACTTTAAAATAATCTATAGAAACAGATTCTGCAATAACGTGTTTGAAATTGCATTTAATGAAAAACAATTAATTAAATAAACCCTGTGTTACAAGCAATGTTGTCTCTAATTATTTTCTCGACACAAAAACGTTCTGCTCCTGAAAACTGACAAAAAATGGTTACATCATGTAGTTGTAACTGATTATCCCTCCCCTTCCGGTCGACCACCACGGGACCTTATTTCGGAAAAATATTGAATGGTAGTCAATGGCGAGAGACAACAAATATTTTGATCTCGTTTGAATTGTGCCCTGAATTACACATATGATGTTTGTCAATTTAAAAGATACAATTTAAAGTAAAGAAAGTCACAGTTTGATGTAAAACCTTTGAGGTATAAGACTGTGAAAATACGTAATTACAAAGACTATACACCCCAAAGGCGCACATTTTCTCTCAATGAATAATGCTAACTTTACTGGGGCTAATGTCTGTCATTGTTTCTATAGTCTTACGTTATAATCGTAACGTTACACCGTCATGCCCATAGACTGTAAAAAAAGATGGGCGACGCCCCTTCGCTCTTTTCCATCAGAGAGAACTGAAGCCGCCAGTGTCCCGATATGACGCTGACATCTTGGAACTTGAGTCTGCGTGCTTGCGTGTTTCGGGACCAGTCATGCGCAGTCGTGAGCAGGAAGTAAAGCCGCGAAATCAAGGCCGCGCCCTCATTCTCGCTGAATCAAACGCAAGCACACGCCCCGCACTTTCATTAAGTGTCCTCTATCTGCTTCGTTCTTCTCCAATGATGTCTGCTGATTGCAGAACCTCGTTAAAATAAGGTAAATACAACTACTAACCACATAATCAACACTATTAAAAAAAGTCCGCTGGTGCTTTCAGCTTGTGAACCAAGTAAACAAACAATGTTTCCTAAAAACTACAAGTGCACTTAAAACAAATAAGGGAAAAATACAAAAACACTTCTGTCACCTCCTGTTGCTCGACTGCTTTGACTGACAGTGTTTTTATTTACGTCTAGCCTTAACGTTTTATGAATTATTTTATTTGACAAATTGAAGGCTACGAACGCAAGGTAAATACATTTATAAAACGTTTTCACAATACGTAAAAAATCATTATTAATATTACCTAATATGATGAAAACGGCTTCGTTATTGTTTAAAGTCCCCTCACATTGACAGTTACTAATTATTACAATACACAAATCACGTCGTAAACTAGTCCTATTTTCAACTCAAAATGGCGAAATTTGACAAGTTTATTAATTTGTATTCCTGATTATTGTCGTCTATCTACGGAGGCGTATTGCATTCACATGAAGAAAAAAAATCTACTCTGTTTTTCTGAATTAATGAGTTAATTTTTCATGAGAAAAAAAATTTGCTCTGTTTTTCTGAATTAATGAGTTAATTTTTCATGAGAAAAATTTTTTTTGCTCTGTTTTTCTGAATTAACGAGTTAATTTTTAATGAGAATTTTTTTTGCTCTGTTTTTCTGAGTTAATGAGTTAATTTTTCATGAGAAAAAAGTTTTTCTCTGTTTTTCTGAATTAATGAGTTAATTTTTCATGAGAAAAATTTTTTTGCTCTGTTTTTCTGAATTAATGAGTTAATTTTTCGTGAGAAAAAAAGTTTTTGCTCTGTTTTTTCTGAATTAACTCGTTAATTCAGAAAAACAGAGCAAAAAAAAAATCCATGAAAAATTAACTCGTTAATTCAGAAAAACAGAGCAAAAAAAAAAAATCCATGAAAAATTAACTCATTAATTCAGAAAAACAGAGCAAAATATTTTTTTTTCTCATGAAAAATTAACTCATTAATTTAGAAAAACAGAGCAAAAACTTTTTTTCTCATTAAAAATTAACTCATTAATTCAGAAAAACAGAGCAATTTTTTTTTCTCATGAAAAATTAACTCGTTAATTCAGAAAAACAGAGTAGATTTTTTTTCTTCAAGTGAATGCAATACGCCTCCGTATCTATCATCAAAATTATATTATCATCATATTTCTATCATCAAAAAGCTATAATGTTTAGTTTAGCTATCCTACTGACGTATACAAGGTTACACAGTAATGTCAATAGCTAACAGCATTACATAATTTTTTTTTTTTTTTTATATGAATCCAAGTATCAACATTTAGACACATTTGGATAAATTAAATGTTTAAGTAATACAACTTTAAACAAAAACGACGTATTTGGTGTCAAACCAATAGTTTTCTCTGGTGAGGAACATATTTACATGCATTAATGGGGTGTTTTTAATTAAAAATGAAAGTTTGGGCATTTAAGTTAATCTACTAAAGACTGGTGGTTCTGGGAAGATGATTTATATAGTTACAAATGTCAGCCGCTAGGTGGCGCTGATGGTCAAACTACTTGATAAAATTGTTTTTAGTCAAGAGTGCTTATTAAAAAGACACTAGACCAATGTAACATTATACCAGACGGGGCTTGAGTCTAGATCCAGACTAAAATTCATGTTTGAGCTGTTTTACTTGAAAGCATCTTGCACTGATGTATCTTAAAATGTCTGTGTTATTGTTTTGTCTCAATTTGCAAACCAGTAATGTTTTTTTTTCATAACTATAAAAGCTACTCTGAATTAAGGCTTAATCTAAGCCCTGTCTGTGGAACCAGGCCCTAATCTAATCCATGTCACATTGAAAACATGAACGCAGTGATAAAAGGAGTGCATACATCAGTGATTTGATCCAGTGGCTTTAATGCAGACAAAATATCCACCAGTTGAGTTTTTGACAGTGCAGAAACCATCCTTGAGAGCATTTTAACATAAATAAAACGTAATACAAAAGATGCAGTCATGTATTTTAGTGATTCAAGTGACTTCAGTCAGATATTAAGTTATCTAATATAGATGATTTTATAACACTGCCCTGTCTACAGCTCTTCCTGAGAGTTTGTCACGTCCGTAGATGCTGCCGAGGCCAACATGTAACCTTTTCCAGGAGGAATACCAGCGGCAAGAGCTTTAGTCCAATCTTTGGTGTCCCGAAATGTCAGTAGGATTTCAAACACTGAAACACAACAGCACACGGTCAATTACACACTCGGGATGAGGAGGAGTAATGTAATAACACAGAAACGGAGCCAGAGAAAGCGATGACCTTGGTTGATGGCCAGGATTTTGGAGTGGAAGTTTTTGGGGTTTGGTTTCTTCACCATGTACTCATCAATCGGCAGCCGCGCCATGCGAATGCCAAACTCTTTCGCCCTCGTGAAGCTTATTTTCTTAAAGAAAGCAGTGAGATCTTGTTTAGTTCAGCTGTTTCTTCACTATGAAATCTTTCATCAATGAGTCTCACCTTCTGTATGGTTTCATCCACTAAACCTCCGAGGATATAAACTTTATCTTCCTCCACATATTCCAACGCTAACGGGGACAGTCAGTCGTTATCAATTTATGTGGAATAAAAACAAATAACTTTGACTTATTGCAGCATTCACATGGGTTTTAACTGAACTTTTCCCTCTTAATATCACAATTATATAATGATACAATATATTTTTGACCGTTAATATCATCTGTCACTATAATGAGTGAAGCAGTATATTCAATTAAGAAACATGGCAGTGGTAACTAAAATTACAACAATTAAAAATTGTTTTCTGTAATTAAAGTAAAATAAATATAAAAATAGTTTAAAATATACTAAAATAAAACATAAAAACTTAAAAATAAAAATAGGAATGTTTTACTATCATTTTCTGACGCATTAATGAGTAAAATAGTATATTCAATGATGAAATTGGAAGCTGAATTCAATTCAAATAAAACAACCTAAAGTTAAAGAAAATTAGAAATGTTGTCCTGGCAACGAACTAAAATAAATAAACTTAGGTTTAAGTACTAAAATGACTAAAACTGAAATAAAAATAAATTAAAACTAAATACAAAAAGGCAAACCCCACCAAAAAATTAGAAATATTATTAGTAAAAAAAATAAAACCTGAACTAAATTAAAATGAATGAATATACATATATTTATATATATATATATATATTTATATATTAAATAGGGCTGTGTTTCTAAAAGTTTGTGCTTATATAATATATGTGTGTGTGTGCTGTGTATAATTATTTTGTATATATAAATACACACACACATGCAGGTATATATTTAAGAAAATGTGTTATTCATATATAAAATATTTATATATAATATAGATTATGTATTTATATATACACAGTATTTATGTGTAAATAATTCTTAAATATATACATGCATGCATATGTATTTATAAATACAAAATAATTATACACAATAATTTTTAAAAGCACAAACTTTTATTTTGGATGCGATTAATCGCAATTAATCTTTGCACAGCCCTAATATTAAAGCTATCAATAAACATGATTAATAGTGTATAAAAAAAACACTAGTGTAAAAAAAGGGAGACACGATTAAAGACAAGCAAGTAAGTTGTTTCATATTACCTTACACTCCTGGGCAAAAGTAAATAAAGAATAAAATGCGCCAAGCCAAAAATGGCAAAATATTTAGAGGTCTTTAAATGGTCTTGACCATATTAAATCACTGGTCAGCAAATTGGAAAGAATTTCACAGACACTGAACATGAAGTAACAACACTCAATGCTAACGGCTTCAAACTGTCCATGAGTCACTGAAAAATACCTCCAGAGTTCCTTTGAGTTTAAAGTCCCCGTGAAATCAAAATTGAACCTATTTACTTTGTTAGCGCATATTACTAGTCTTGTGGTGAACAATTAATCCGTGCAAGTGAATATATATTAAAAAATGTTTTACCTTTGTAATCTTTAATCAAAATCTGAAAAGTTACTTCCGGTCTGGAACGGTTTCTTTTTCTGATTCACAGTTTGGGTGGGGAAACGCTTAACCACTCCCCTCAAACCGTTAGTTTGCTATGAGCGAGAGATGGAGAGGAGGAGCGCTAGAGTAAAACCCTGCCCTCTGTTCAATATTCCGTTTCACTTGGAAATACGTCACAGCACTGGAGAAAAATCGTTTGCAACTTCCGGTTCACGGGGACTTTAATGTAAGACTAAATATTTACCAAAGAGTTCACATCAGGGGCCCGTTTCAATAAGGAGGTTCAACCAACTCGTTGACTTACCCTGAGATGGGAAACTCTGAGTTTTCGGTTTCAGAACAGCTGAAATGACTTAGTTCAATCAACTCTGAGTTGACTGACTCTGAGTTAAGCGCGTGCACCACAGCTATAAAAAGCCATTATCAATGGAGCGCAGATATTACGAGTCACCATGGCAACAGCGCCAGACAAAAAGAGGTGTTGGGTATAATTAATTACCAAGTAATCTAAATATTGTAATTTAATTAAAGGGATTACTCTTAATTCTTCTTTAATTTAAAATAAAATATGATGCAATTACATTAAATAGGCTACTGCATAAACTATAGACCAATTCAGTATAAAACAATAGTGGATTTAGCATACATTTTTAAAAGGTATATTTTTATATAACCTTCTCCCTCTACACACTTTGATCAATTCAAGAATAATTCATGCAATTGTATATTGTTAATTTGAAAGCATTAAAAGTGCAGTTTCTTGTCTCTCCTCCTTGTATTAATCAAGTGGTTGAGGTTGATATAGGATTTAGTAATATGTAGACCAATACTTTCTAGAGATAGTAATTATTACATTAATCTAACTACACCGTTGAAGATGTCATTTGTTGTTAATAATTCATAACTATTTTAGAGTAACTGTTATAATATCAGAGGTGAAACTGGAAGAATGTTATTCAACCTAAAGTAGTCTACTATTACTTTGATACATTTTTACTTAAGTAAAAGTAAAAATACCAGTCTAAAAAATCTACTCAAGTAAAAAGTAGTTAATTTAAACATGAGTAAAAGTTGCTGAGTAACTTGTTTAACAGCGGGGGTGGGGTGGGGGACTCCCCCATGTGGGGTTGTAACGTATGAGAGTTTCACAGTATGAGAACCGTCTCAGAAAATATCACGGTTTATGGTATTAAACAATTGTTAAATATATAAACTGCATTATTAAATTACGGTTATTATTTTCATCAGTTAAAATGACAGTTAAATAAATTAAACATTTGTTCAATAAAACATAATATCAACTAACTTCAATGATTGATTATGATTATCATCTTATTTTTTATCATGAATAACTTATTAAATTTTATTACAATTTTTTCAATGATTTAATAGAAATATATTATCCAAAACAGTGGTAATCAAATAAAAGTTTAGCAAATGTTTTAATCCTTTTATTTTTTGGCAAAGTGCTGCAAAACAGATTTAGTCAATTAAACCATGGACAAACAATATATATATATTCCTTAAAGAATGTGTAAATACATTTTAGTATTATTGTTGGTGTTTAAACAGCACTTCCTCTTTAAAAAAGGGGAGGAGACCGCAAGAAACTCTGGGTTTACCGAAGAAAACCTGCTCCCGACCAGGTTAGGTTCACAGAGTAAGTTACCATGGTAACTGACTCTGAGTATAAGTTACCTCTCTTTCAGAAACGGGCTTGACTTACTCTGCTTTCTCGGGTTTGATATACCCCCCTTTCTGAAACGGAAAACCCAGAGTTTCCCTCATTTCAGGGTTAACATACTCAGAGTTTTCACTTAACCTCCTTTCTGAAACAGGCCCCTGGACTCTGACCAGGCCAAAACATGAGCCTGACGGACTCGTTCTCAAGCCACTTCTCTATTGGCTTTGCAATTCGGACGCATTGAAAAACAACATCTGATCTTCATTCCTCTTTTTATTTGTGGGAAGAAAGCCATTCTGCAATATCCTCCTGTCCTCAGAAGTGTCATCGATACATTGCAGTACCAACGGCTTTTTAAGTAGTGCATTTGCTTAAATTTTGCTCGTTTTCTTCCAGACCAATAATTTATGGTTAAAAAAATTACATTTTTAGTTTTACCATTTTTTTTCTGCCCAGGAGTGTAAACATGATCAAATTTAGAGTAGTGTGCACCATTAAAACGTAAATAAGGCGCATTTGTATTCATGATGACTTCACTAATTGGATATAGAAGATGTGCAATATGAACCTTCACTTGCGTCCGGGGTTAAATATATCACATCTTCAGAGGGAAACAGATGAAACCAGCTCTCCTCCGTCACATCGATCTGTGCGACACAGACAATATCATTATTACTAGGGCTGGCTATTGAGACAAATTTCACAATTCGATTCAATTTCGATTCACAAGCTTGCAATTCGATTCGATTTCGATTACGTTTCGATTCAATATAGATTATTTTGGATATCAGTTACAATAAATGGCAATTTTTCTCAAGGAAATCAAATCTCTTAACTAATGCTGTAAACTAGGGATGCACCGATCCACATTTTTTCACTTCCGATCCGATCCCGATACCCGACTTTGGATATCGGCCGATACCGATACTTTTCCGATACCAGAGCTGTGTTTGCTTTAATAGTATTTATCATTATTGTTGATTTTATATGATGCTGAAATAAACTCCTCTCTACAGGCAAGGATGATATGTGCGTATGTATGTCAGTATATATATTAAACAATAGATAGACAATTAAACAAAGATACACACATTATACAGGCCTACACAGTGCTTTAATTTCAGGAAGGTCTACTAACATTATTCAGGTATGGTCTAAAAAGAATTATAATAAAGTAATCAAAAGTAAAATAGCACTGCAAAGCTTACCATAGATAGATTTATGCTTATTAGAGCTGAAGTTATTCATTCAAGAGCTGTGAGTGATTTTCTCTTTGCCTTTTGTTGTTTGACTCTCAGTAATGTCGCAATCGTCACATTTATACTGCTGCCCCTTTAAGAACGAGTTCAGATTTCATATCTACTGATGCACCATATTTTCTCCCAACTACTTCCATAACTACGTTCATTTTTAGACATAAACGGTTTAAGTGTTAATCTCCAAGCCGGTCGGTTTGACATTTTTCTTGTGCAGGCTACATTTGATCGTTTAGACGCGCATATGAAGCCCAGATTATAATTTGTTTGTCTTGTTGCGGCCTGTTTCGGAGCGCGCGCCGCACTGGGAACAGCATTTCTTGCGCAAATTTTGTGCTTTTAATAGCTCTCTTTATCATTAAAAGTGTCCCGCAATTTAGCAACAGCAGAGCCTGCATTTTACAACAATCACAGATCGTGCTGATTCTGTCTTTAAGTTTTAGTATTAAGGAGAAATGACAGCGCACCGCCGCGATGGGAAGAAAGTTGGCTAGACAGAATGCGGCTAATGTTTTTAATGTTTTTTTACCTCAATATATTCTTTAATCTTTGGAAATCAGACTAATATCATAGATATAACCAGGCTACGTTTCCTCTGTCGTCACTCATTAAGCAGGGCTGTCGTGTTGTGCGTGCTGTGGGACTGCGTGAGAGATCTCTCTCTTTCTCTTCTGGACTGCGAATTGCAAACATGCATCACAGACAAATAGTTTAATTAATACGGCTTTGCAAACATTGCCTTTTGCGGTCTTGCTCTGCTGCGGTGTTTCCAGTGTGAAGTATTTCCACACAGCGAACATGTTGGTAGCTCAATCCTATCCTGCTAGCTGGCTGCAAACTGCGGAATGGACTTCCTGAGTGGGGGTCTGTGTGTCTCATTGAGCCCTATTTTTTACAGTCTATGATTGAGCTGCACCTCCGTTCAGAACATCCATTCCACAGTTTGCAGCCAGCTATAGCAGATTAGCAGGCCCAGGGAATCCCTTTTGGAGTCATTTCAGCAGACAACGTAAAGCGCAGACATGGATCATAAATATCGGATTTCTCCGCAGGTTGGATCGGAAAAATCCGATACGTGAATTACGCTGGTATCGGTCCCGATACCGATACTGGATCGGATCGGCCCCATCCCTACTGTAAACTATCATGGGAGTCTAGTTGTAGTAGCCTACTAGGCTTCATTAGCCAAATATGAAGGTAATAATGATTGAATCACTTAAATTACACTTTTATTTATTTTTATAATAAGAAGATTATATGAAATAAAAACATTTAAATGGTGGCTGTCATAAAAACTTGCCAGATTTATTCAAATATGCATTAAATATTGAAGAACATTAATATTATAATGCATATGTAATATGGTGTATATATATATTTAGCAAAATGCTCCTTTCTAGAGTTATTTTGGAGTTATTTAGGTTTTCTGAGGTAAATATGACGATGACATTGATTACAAGCTGTTTAACTGACGTCTTTCCACGGTTGAAACGCTGATTGAGTGAATCAATGTGACATGATCCGGATTTCGATAAGTTGTACTCTATCTTTAACACACTTTCAGATGCTCATTCATGTTTATTTGGCGCTGTAACGGGTATTATTAAGCCGGAAGAGAGATCAGTGCTGCTGCTTCTCTTGAGCTCCGCCAGAGCGATCTCACGCCACAGCGCCAAAACGCTATTTATGTTTTTGAATTTCTAAAGAAAATGGACGTAATTTGAAATTTGAGACTTTGTTTCATATCAATAATAACAAAGGACAAAGATTATTGTGATTTTTTTGGATGCACGACGCCGCTATACAACGTTCCATTCATTCAAATGAAACAGGATGACTAATCGATTCTTGAGATTTAAGAATCGATATCGGTTCGTAAAAATGAGAATCGATTAATATCGAGAAATCGATATTTATTACCCAGCCCTAATTATCACTGTATATCATCTGTGCTTCTGTTTGTACTATTGAAGGTTAGGAATCGTTTCTAACCAGATAATTCAGGAAGCCGTCATTCATCCGAACGCACTCCTTATACAGCAGACTGTCCTCTCTGAATTCTGTCAGGAAAACGTGGAATGGCTGTAGGGATTTCTTATTGGATCCGTAAAGGCGCCTGATCTGTCCTGCAAGACGACTGATTTCCTACGAGATAAAAGTATGATTGAATTAAACCCCCACACTTGTTATCTAAAATCACTGTCAGACTGTGTGTGTGTGTGTGTGAATCTTACTTTGTCTGTCAGGCGGTCGGTCATGCTGAGGTCGACACACAGACGCAGTCCTGCTGCTCTGGCCTCCTCCAGTCTCTCTTTGGTAACCGCTTTAATCACACGTTTACTGAGCTGCAGCTCATTCACATCTGCAACACACACACATCCAATCAATTAGAAAACACTCTTGGTTCCAGATCATAATGCAATATCCTCTTGAGACCCTGGAATGGGCATTTTGCCTCGGTAGAGGACGTTATATTTTAGTGAATATCTCTGAACGTCACAGTTTTAAGTCCCGTATAGGGCCTTTTATGGAAACTTTGATGGCACTCTTATGGAAATATGAAAATAATATTTTGTAATTATCATTTAAATTTGTTTGTCAGAAATCAACATCTCAGAAAAATGTTAATGGGGTTTCAAATCAGAATAAGACTTTCTGTTACGAAACAGCATTGATTTCATACATGTCCTCTTTAGAGACATCAGGATTTTAAAGCGATAGTTCACTTTGAAATTAATATTTGATATGTTTTATCTTACCTCAAGAACATCCAAGATGTAGGTGTCTTTGTTTCCACAGTAGTTTCAATTTTGATATTTTTAGGTCAAACCGTTCTTGTCTGTCAGTCATATAATGGAGGTCTATGGTCACCACCTCGAAGAGCATGCAGCAAGTCCAGATAAAACATGATATAATGACTCGTTCGTTTTCTCACGCAAACCGCTCGTTTCGTGTCTTAGGCCATCAATGTGTACTTACATTTACGAGTCATTAAATCATGTTTAATTTGGACTTCTCTGTGCATGCTCTTTGAGGTGGTGACCATAGACCTCCATTATATGACTGACAGACAAGAACGGTTTGACCTAAAAATATAAAATACTGCGGAAACAAAGACACCTACATCTTGGATGCCCTTGAGGTAAGATAAAACATATCCAAAATTAATTTCAAAGTGAACTATCCCTTTAAAGCACACCATGTAACTTTTGGCCAAAAGAGTTGCATGCATACGTGTTATTTTAAATGATTTCTCACGCCAATACACAGCGCTTGACACGACAGTACAACTACTACATACTAATTCCTACATAGTGCTGCTTTAAATCGTGTTTATCAGGCATTTTGGGAGACACAGCAAGTGACTTATACTGAAAACTTCTTATGAAATATGAGATATTCTAACACATATTATTACACATCTTTCTTCATTACATGTTTTCCCAAGAACACATAAATGCAAATTAGATACAGTGCAGAAATGCATTGGATAGAATGGCAATGGCATTAATGGCAATGTTTACGTGCATATTGCATAAAGTAATGGGATATCAATTCAATCTGTTATATCTTTGTATTTTTTTCAAATATGTCTTAATTCCGTTTGTTTCTGATTTCCATTTGTTTCTTAATGAACTCTTTCTATAATTCTAAATAAGTCTCTTCAGCTGCATTTATTTAATTAAAAATACAGTAAAAACAGTAATATTTGGAAATATTGTTACAAATCAAATTAACTGTTTTTTATTTGAAAATTTAGAATATATAATGTTAAATTAATTTTCAACATTATTAGTCTCCAGCGTCACACGAAATCATAATAATATGCTGATTTGCTGCTCAATAAACATTAATAAGATTGTTATCAATGTTGAAAAAAAAACAGTGGTGCTGCTTAATTTTTTGTGAAACAGTGATGTATTTTTATCCTATTGAGATTCTGATGAATAAAATTAATTTTTATATTTTGTAACATTATAAATGCCTTTGACTTTGTAATATTTGACCAGTGTGAAAGGGACATAAAATAATTTTATGACCCTATCACTCATTCTTATTTTACATTAATATTCATTTTAATTATATATATATATATATATATATATATATATATATAAACTGGCGTTTATGATGGGGCATGGAAATGTACATAGGTTTGACCCTGTTAGGTAACTTATATTAATTAAGGTCAGATCACCTTTATTTAGTCTGTTGAGCTTCTTTCTCTGTTTCTCCTCTTTTCTTTTTCTCCTTTTCACCTCCAGTCTTCTCTCCCAGTTACGCTGCTTGCGTGTAACATTTTTCTGTATAAGTATTACAATAAGTGACACAGTGTCAGTAAATGAATCGTGTCTCAATATTATGACTCATCATTCTCTTACAGAGCACGAGGTTTGCTCTCTGTCGGCGCTCGCGGCGGGCTCGAGCTCCACATCGATGCGCAGAAACTCCAGCAAATCTGCGACCGCAGCGTCGTTTAGTTTCGACGCTCCGTCAGAGTGACAGCATCTCTCGTGTAACGCTTCTTCCATCTGTTTTATGTCTAAAGTCGGATGAATGTATATCCCCCACAAAACAACGTAAAACACATCTATTAAAACTGAACGGCAGGAGAAAAAATGATGACCTCAGATACAGATAAAGTGAAACTAAGGCGCTAAATGCAGCTAAAGATCGTTTCTTCCGACAAACTGAAAGAGGAAGTAACAAATAATGATATACATTAGATCTATAAACGCATAAAAAGATTCAGCGATCCCAAAAAAAACCTGTAAACGACATAACTCCACAACTGCTAATGTTTTCAACTCGAGAGAGTCGGTCGCGCTGTTATGACGTAACGGTCACGCTGTTGCTACTTTGGACGCATTTTGCAGGAAAGAGTCCGATATTATTTATTAGGGCCCAAGCCCTGAAAGGGCGAAGGCCCTATTGTTTTCCTTCCGATTATTTTTTTTTTTTTCTTTTTTTTTTCTAACGACTATTCGGGCACTTTTGGGGCCCTTAACATGCTCGAAAACTCTTGAAACTTTGCACACGGGTCAGAACCCGCGGCCATCAGAGCCGGGCTGAAGCTGGTACCTGGGCGTGGCAGGGCGGCTCGTCAGCGCCCCCTGGAACGGGGTCCGAACACTTGGTCCATAACTCAAACACGCTTGTATGTAATAATATGAAACTCGGTACACATGTTGCTCTCATCGTTTCATCTATACCTCGCGCTCTTACTTTTTACCCCAGCCCAACAGGAAGTCGGCTATTGAGGTTTGTTTGTAAAACACTCGCAATGGAATGTTAAATACTCCTCCTAGAGCTTTGATCCAAGTTCGACGAAACTCAGTCAGCGTGAAGTCAAGACATTGAGGATGAAAGTTTGCGAGGGGATTTTTGATATCTCGAACGGTTTGTCCGTGGCGAGGAAACGAAACTATGGCGAGAAACGTGAAACAGGAAGTGTGTTATAACTTCAGCATACATTAACTGATCTTGATGAAACTTCAGCAGTGTGTTCGCTGTAAGAGGACGATCACATGGATGTGACTATTGTGAGTCAAAGTTATAGTGCCACCAACTGGCAGCAGGAAGTGTGTCACTTTCAAACTGCTTTGAAATCACCCTTTTATTTTTACCCGATTTGCTTCAAACTTCATCTGAATAATGTAAACATACGATAGATGTAGACCTGTGAATGGATTCTTGATATCTTTTAAACTGTTGCCGTGGCAACGCATCAAACTTTACCATTCTTATAGGATGCTTTTGAGACCCTTAGCATGCTTCAAATTGCATGAAACTCGACAGACACATCACATTTATTAGCCAGTAGACATGTGCAAAGTTTCAGAAACGGGCGTGGTGAGGGCTCAGTAGCGCCACCTTTTGACAAAAGTGGGGTTGTTAGTTTTATCTACAGTTACAAAAATCGGTATGTATATTGTACTCCTCGAGCCGGACAACTTTCTAATTGACACTCATTAGCTAGGACCCACAGAAAGTCAGATATGTTTGTTTGAATGTAGAGAAAATCTCAGAATTTTGCCAGTGTCTCAGTGTCCCTCTGTGTGAGTGAGAGGAGGGGCGCCTGTCAGGTTAATTTTAACCCTTTATTTGCTGTGTGCGACTTCTCTGGCATTTTCGGGGGCCTTAACATCCTCGAAAACTCTTGAAACTTTGCACACGGGTCAGAACCCATGGCCATCAGGGCCGGGCTGAAGCTGGTAACCGGGCGTGGCAGGGCGGCTCGACAGCGCCCCCTGGACTGGGATTCGAACATTTGTCCATAAATCAAACACACTTGCATGAATTAATATGAAACTCGGTACAATTATAGATCACATCAGGCCAAACAACTTTCGTGCTCTAAGTTTTATGACAGTTCAAATGGAAGTTATTTATGAATTATGAATTATGGGTTGTTTGAATAATTGTCCTAGGAGAAATACATCAAATCACAATGCATGTGTTTACCAATCACAACCAAACTCGGTGTGCATGAAGTCAAGACATTGAGGATGCTCAATTCCGGACGGATTTTTGATATCTCGAACGGTCTGGCCGTGGCGAGGAAATGAATTTTATGACTAAAAAAGGACACATAAAGTGTGTTATAACTTTGCTCAATTTACCTACAGTTACAAAACTTACCACGTATATTGTTCTCGTCAAGCCGATCAACTTTCTAATTAACAGTAATAAGCTCAGACCAAAAGAAAGTCAGATATTGCAGTTTGGATGTGTATCTTGTCTCTATCAGTGTCTGTGTGGGGAAGAGGGAGGGGGGGGGGGTTGCTGGTGTCTGCATTTATTTGTGTGTGTGTGTGTGTGTGTGTGTGTGTGTGTGTGTGTGTGTGTGTGTGTGTGTGTGTGTGTGTGTGTGTGTGTGTGTGTGTGTGTGTGTGTGTTTGGCTGACTGTAGATTTTTTCTGCAAGTCCTTATCTTTTTGCATAACAATTTTGTATTTTTTTAAATGACAAAATATGCATATAACCCTAATCTTTTAAATGTATAGCTTGGTTTAAATAAAAGTAAGATAAATTGGTAAACTACAAATTGGTAATTGAAGCTGAATGATTTTAAAATTAATGTGCTATATTTCAATACATTTGCTTTCCTTAATATTGTAAAACACTAACCTCATTTATATGTGTGTGTGTGTGTGTGTGTTTGTATGTATATATATTTTGCAAAGCCCTCACTGATGCAAGCTCTTCTGCACACTTCTCTTCGACAGTCAATGCGGGGGTTAAGTTTTTGCACGTCGTGCAGAATAACCCTCTTTATATATATATATATATATATATATATATATATATGAAGAGTTCAGATGCAAAAGCCTCTAAATGCCATTTGAAATTTTCTTCTTTAATGATGATTGTTTTTTAACAAACTAGTATATTTAAGTTCAGTAATTTCACTTAAATGGCAATGATAATTACCTATTAATTGTTATTTAAGTGAAATTACTGAACTTAAATATACAAATTTGATAAAAATCATCATTAAAGAAGAAAATTTCAAATGGCATTTAGAGGCTTTTGCATCTGAACTCTTCATATATATATATATATATATACTTAAAAAGCGGGGGTTAAGTTTTTGCACGTCGTGAAGAATAACACTAAAGGCACCATATATATACTTAAAAGTGGGGTTGTTAGTTTTATCTACAGTTACAAAAATCGGTATATACATTGTACTCCTCAAGCCGTACAACTTTCTAATACATAGTCTTTAACTCGGATCAAGAGGAAGACAGATATTTTGGTTTGAATATGGTGAGCCTCTCTCTGAGCCTACGTCCCTCTATGGCAAGCCCTTTTAACATTTAAAAGCTAAGTTTGCCTTTCCGGAATTAACATTGTAGATATCAACAACGTCTTTCTGTCTAGTCGTAATTACACTTTGGATAGTTTGTATTATCATTTAAGATATCTGTAACATAATTGTGACTAGTCGAAATGACAGAGTATGGCAAGCCGTTTTAACATTTAATCATGAAAGGGCCAAAGCCTTCGGCACCGCCACCCGGGTGCCTTTAGGTAACTAAAGGAACCGGGGTTGCGGTGCCTCCGGCTTGGGCCCGCCATCGCTGCTCGCAGCTATATTTTAATTTTAGTTTTTGCTAAATATAAATCATACATAAATATTATCACAGTAAAACCAACCTTTGTTTTTGGTTCTTGGAAAATAAACTAAAATATAGCAGGCCCATTCTGAAGGCACAGTACATTTTCAATATGATTTAATATAATATAGGCCTATATTTTTATTTTATTCTTGTGTTATCATTTTACGTGTATGTATTTATTTCTAAACATCAATTATACATTTTTCATTATTTGTTGAAGTGTGTACTGTATTTTCTTCATTACATTACATCAGTAAATCAAATAAACATGCATATTATTTTTACTGGTATTTGCCAAATGTCATATTTGCAGGAACAAATTTAGTAACCAAAAGCTCATATTTAGAGTTTTCTGGTTATTAAATCGCACATATCCACATTATAACTGTCCAGCAAGTGTTTTACGTTGATGTTTTGTTTGCTTACATATTTTTTTACATTATTTTTTTATTCGAATATTTGTATATTTCACTGGTATGATAAAAAATAAACGAAGGGAAAAAGTAGCGTATCATCATTTTACCAGATGCTTTCATTATCCAAACGGACTTTGTACCAACATACAAACTTATTAAATAGGCTAGTGATTCATCATCATTATAAAGATTATATCATCGTCAATGTTGTAGTACAAATAAAAAAAATCGTTTATTACAGAAGTCTGTTCTGATAAGTGTCTTTGCTGAGAAATGCACATGTGATCAAAGGGACTTTCATGTGTTTCTTTATTCAAAATAAAACCTCATTCATGCAATCCACCAATTCTCCAAACCGGCATCAAAAGTGTCAGACGAGGAGCTGCTCCAAAAACAAAACCTTGACAACAATATCTCATTGTCCATATTATAATAAATTAAAACTGTAAATATAAACAAACAATGTGGACAGAATTGCATTTGTAAGCATTTCTTATTTTGGACACACGTGTTTTTGCGAATAGGAAGCTGTGGGTTGTTGTGAAGCTGGCGGTTTTGTGAAGGACGAAGTGTGGTAATATTCATATCTGCTGAATTCTGTTAAATTTTTACAACCAAATCCAATCAAATTGAATTCAGGCCTGTCATGTGAAAGTCATGTACATGACTCAGACCGTTTTTTTTCTGCTACCGTTAATCAAAATGTTCTCCACTTTCTCACGAGCTACAAATGCACAACAGATAAGAAATGAGCCTGATATCACGAATGTCTCTGGGTAATTTTATACATTTTGGGTGAATCAAACTGATTTATGAATTTAAATTTTCAGTGGCAAGTGTGATAGATAAAATCACAGGAGAGCAGGCTGTCAGGAAGAGAGATCCATATTGGCACCGAAATGACTAAAGACCGCCAAATTAGCCATGATTTTGGTTCAACAAGTTACTGTTGGATGTTCGGCGCGACCTTGCTGGAGAATATGTATCCAATAAATTAGAAAAGTATTTTGGGGCAGTCCCATAAAGACATTTAAAAACCAATGAGAGGATCTTGAAGTCAATTCTGTGCACTGTAAAAAATAAAACCGTAATTTTTACGGTAAAAAAAACGGCAGCTGTGGGTGTCAGAACTTTACCGTTAAAAAACGGTAGGAACGTTAATGGTTTTACATACTTGACTTAAAATTTACAGTAATAAACTGTATTTAATTTTTTGATAAAATGCTGATTTACCATCCTTTCAAAAATTGATATCTGTTAAGTACCATTGTAATACACCAACAACCAACAATCATCACAGCAGCGATGAGTCACATGATCAATCAAAGCTCATCATAAGTTAATACTTTTATAAAGAAGCTGCACAGTGTCGTTCACACAAACATTAAACTCCATCATGGTAACACACATGAAATAAAAAAAAAATGCAATAAACATTAATTTAACGACATTAAATGTAACATAAAACCCTAATGTACATAACTGGTTAGAAAAAAAAAACAAGAAAAATATGCACTCTCAGAAAAAAGGTACAAAATCTGTCACTGGGGCTGTACCTTTTCAAAAGGTACACTTTTGTACCCAAAGGCTACATATTGGTACCTTAGTGATACATATTAGCACCTAAAATGTACATATTAACACCTAAAATGTACTTATTACCACCTAAAATGTACATATTACCTCCTAAAATAAACATATTAGCTCATGAAATGGACATATTAGCACCTAAAATGTACATATTAACACTTAAAATGTACATATTAGCACCTAAAATATATATATTAACACCTAAAATGTACTTATTAGCACCTAAAATGTACATATTAGCACTTAAATTTTACATATTACTTAAAATGTACATACTAGCACCTAAAATGGACAAAAGTTTACATTTTGAAAAGGTACAGCCCCAGTGACAGCTTTTGTACCTTTTTTTCTGAGAGTGTGAGGAGCCATAATTATTTCAACAAAAATACATAAAATGTGAAGTGTCACGCAGGGAATGGTGGGAATGTCAATTTACGTTTTTTTTTTCACTGTAAATTATACAATGAGTTGTTCTTTTTCACTTTCAAAAACTGTAAATTTAACGGTATTTTACAGTAAAATTATATCACAGTTATTTACCGTATATTGTACGCAAACTTTCTGTTAACCAATTAACAGTTTTGCACTGTAGCTTTTTTACAGTCTTCTGAATTTATGAATTTGAATTTATTCTGAATCTGAATAACACATTAATCAAGTCTACAATAAACAAATGTATGAACGAGTTTCTCATTCTCATTCAAAAAAATTGCTCATATGTTTGTTTGTTTTTTAAACTGAGGTCCCTGTCAAAAGCATGATTCTTCAGTTCTTGACCTGACTAGGCTTTTAGCGATAAAGTAGCAAGATATACAGCAATAGATTGTTACTCTATTACTGATAACAAGTGAAGTACTTCTATCTTATCTTCATTCAGTAGTAGAAAGTTCTGTGACATCCATGATTTTATGCTCTCTTTTTATGTAATCCAAAAGGGTGTAAACTGAATTGTAGCCGTCTGGTCCAAGTGATAGATAAGAGTCGCATGTCATCTGCATACTGATGAAAACAAATATTGTACTGATGAATTACTCTAGCAAAAGGAAGCATGTAAAGGTTAAATAATAGAGGGCCCAATACTGAGCCTTGAGGAACGCCACAAGATATGACATAACATCTAGAGGTGTAACAAAGCATTCACTGCTGCTGTTTAAGTAGGATCTGAACCAGTCTGGACCTGACCCGACACATTTATGTAGTCAGTTGCACTCACATTTGGGTTTGTCCATATTTGACCCAAATTTGGGTGAATTTTCTAGAGTGCGAGTATCTCATGAACAGCAGTTTCAGGAAGCACTCAGAACAACGATCGCCTAGTTACATGAGATCTGAATTACTTGTAGATCATTATAAATGTTTATTAGGGCCTTTTCTGTTCTGTTGTTTGAAAGGAAGCCAGACTGAAGTTTGTTGGTGTCATTGAGCCGTATGGATACTATTTTTTTTTTCAATTAATTGAGCAAGAAATGGAAGATTAGAGATTGTGGAGCGCGGGGCACAACCTAACGCGGGGTTAAATGCAACACAAACCTTTTACATAATCAGTCAGGATTAAGCAGGTTGCCTTTCCGCTCTTTTTCTCTCACCGCCAGAAGACGGTCTCCCGCAAATTCGCGGAAAGTTTTGATAACATTTCGTGAAGATACTGTCTGGACAAAGAGTGTTTTGACACCACTAAAGAAATTTTTTTCATCACGGGTTTTTTTTTGGGTTTCTGAGTTGGGGAGTATACGTTTCCAAATATTGGCTTAATCACTGTCTTGTTGGCTCAAACACCGTTTTGAAACTCCTAGAAAATTCCTAGAAACTGTTAGCAAGGCTTAAAACATGTAAGCGGGGTCAGTAAGCACAAACAAGCCTCCAAGTGTACAAAGATAATCAAATGAAAACAGGACCCACACGACTTTTCAGGTTTGAGTATTTATTTAACTTTGTTGGACTTTCACAAACAATGTTGGGATTTAAAATGTTTAAAATGTAGTTTACTATGCATTGATCACTTGTTTATTTATTCATAATATGGCCTGTTTTTAACGCAATAAACCCTTTAAATTTTTATTTTAAGCTCATTTGTATTATCATTACTGTTATTATTATTAATAATAATAATTTTACATGCAGCTGCCACACACAAATCTAATTTAATTGCAATAGGCTTTATGCACAACTTACTTCCGCATTCTCTGTAAAACAGGTCGAATCGCTTCCGGTACAGGTCTTTTGTATGTTTTTCATGACATTTTTTGCGGTTTTACTCAAGATAACTTAAAAGGAGCGAGCAAAGATTAGCATAAACAATATCCCTCACATGTGCAGATTAATATTTAAACGTTTTATATTTTTTATTATATTTTTTACCTTAAATATCCATTGATATCGTAGTCAGTTCTTACGGCCGTTAACACTTTCTCTGACAAGCGGATGCGATGAGACCCGCGTTTTCCGGTTTGGTCACGTGACGCACGGCATAAAGCCTATTACAATATTTTATGATTTTATTTATTATTATTTATTGCAAAACTGTGCAGCCCTTTTCTATGTCTCTATCCATGATATTGATCCATGATTGGATGAGGGATGGATGTATGGAAACAATATCAAACTATACAAATAATATTCTTCTGAATTATGTGTGTGACACACAAGTGTTGCAACGAACCCCTCTGTCTGTTACAATTAACCCCACATATGGGGTAATTTGCACTTCTGTCACTTTCAGTGCAACAGTACGAAAATGGTAGGTCCTAGAAAATTTTTTTGGTGTGCATTTGTAGCAGAGATTTAAACTTAATAACTTAATAAATTTTTAATAATTGAGCCAAAACCAAAATGTGTTAGGTTGTGCCCCGCTCTCCCCTACTGTAGAGTACAGAGGAAGAATTGCAGTTTTAAAAATGTGTGTAAAAACTCCTTGCTGTGGGGACTGATTAACGACGATATTCAACATGTCTGGTAAAAAAAACACTGTTTTGATAAATTAGCGCAAAATATGTTGAGAAATCATCGAGAGGAATTCACAAGTGATAAGACCTGTGAAAGTGCATTGGGGCTGACAGCTAAAAGGTGGAACAAATTACATTGCAAGAGAGGGAGTTGGAGACCTTACAAGTTCATGAAAAAGGAGCAGGATTTGATAAAAGAAAGGATTTAATTAAAAAACATCATCCATATATTCCACAACTTTTATAATTTTTAACAAACTGATTGCAACAGTATACAATGAATAGATGCAGTGTAACAGACTGTAGTGTAGCATATCATTTGGATCATGGTGTCTTGAAATCATTAGACAGGACAAACACATATCAATCAGAATGAAAGGATCAGAATGCATATAAAAATATTATTTTGCAAGAATTTACATTTAAGCGCTCTGTTTCAAAACATAGTGAGCTAATGTGTCTTGTGAGTAGTGAGAATGAAAGTAATATAAGTCACAACATAAATGTCTTCTATGCTTTCTTGGCCATTCGCTCTTTTTTCTCAATAAAGTGAATGAGTCTTTTAACCCATGGTGTCCTGGGGTTAAGACAGATCTTTTCTCCACTCGATAGGCCAGCACTGAAAAAAGAAAAGACAACAGGATTTATGTAGAAGATAAAGTGCTGTTTCAAAGATTGGGGTCGGTAAAATACTTTTATTCATTAATCGATTCAATTCACATTTATAGCGCTTTTCACAATACACGTCGTTTCAAAGCAGCTTAACAGAAAACATCCACATTACACTTTAGAGTGATCCGTTATCAGAGGAAACTGTCGAAGTTATGTATTTCAGAAATGTACACGTACAAAAATCGTATTTTTTTTTAATTTAAACAATGTAATAATTTAGAATCAAAAGTGTAAAGACATTGATTATTTCACAAGCGATTTTTTTTCAAATGTTTTTTTTTTTGTTTACTTTATATTTATCAAAGAATGGTCAAACAAATGTATCTTGGATTTCGCAAAAATATTATAAGCAGCAAATCATCATATTAGAGTGATTTCTGAAGGATCATGTGACTCTGAAGACTGAAGAAGTAACGATGCTGGATCACAGGAATAAATTACAGTTTAAATTATATCACAATAGAAAAAAGTTACTTTAAATTTTAATATATTTCACAATTTGCATTTTTTTTTTCTCAAATAAATGCAGCTTTGGTGAGCTTAGAGACTTGTAATGGTAACCCATTTCAAGGTAATTGAAAATAAAACACAACTATGCACTATCAAGTCTTTCCCTTTTCTCATTTTCTCAAAAACGCATAAAATAACACCTAATTTCAACATTTATATTTATATTTCAACAAGCAAGCTCAGTTTCAGTTAATGCAACACAAATCAGTCATGTAATCCAACACAAACGGATTAAGTAAACTTAAATTCTACATGTACGCAATCAAATTAAGTTTAGACAAAATGTATAGCAATTGTGTTTCTTAAGCTCATTTTAATTAATTTGAACAAGCAGCTAAAATATTTGTATTCAGTGTTGGTGAGCAGACACGAGACTTGTTTCAAAACATTAAAAATATTAAAAGGTAGTGTATTTATTAGGTTTTATGGTTGTGTTGATTAGAATTTGTGGTTTTATTTTCATTTTCAAGCACGCTGTGAAATTGTTTTTGAAAATAAACTAAAAAATCAGCTAAAAAAAATCAAAGTGTAAAAAAACAATTAGTTCAGTTTACTTAATTTTATTATGCAAACTCGTTGCCTTAATTTCATTAAGTAAGCACAACTTAATTGCATCTTACTTAATCCATTTAAGTTTTGTCAACTTAATTCTGTCTGTGATCTGAGGAAGTGTACTCCCAGAGTGCATTGCGGCGTGAATAAATTAATTGCTTTGTTTTTCTATTTTTGGCTTTATTTCACCATTACAATTTTATTTGCTATCGTTATTGGGGTTATACTTACAAGAGACCGGAAAAATTTTTTTTACGGTCAATTAATTAAATCATTAATTTTTTTTATAAATAAATAAATATATATATATATATATATATATATATATATATATATTTATATATATATATATATATATAAAATTAGAAAATTAAAAATTTTGTATAAATAAATAAATATATATATTTATTGCTTCACTTCCTTTGAAAACAAATAATTGTGATTTCATGTTGAATCACTGCAATCAATTGGAAGAGAATTACAAAAATATAAATTAAGACAAAATGATACTCAAACCAGTCAAGTAATGTTTACAAGATTTTTCTGAGTAATGAAGGCATAGCATGCAAACAGTACAGATTACCAAGAAATTTTAAGTAAGTTCAACAAATTATTGGACATTAAGTAAAGTTAACACAAAAATTCTTAGTAAGAACAATGTTAGATACGACAAAACCCGTCAAATATTTACAACGTCCCACCTAAATTTAAATATTTCAGGAAGACGCAGGACGAACTTACATGACCTCAGTGGTCTTGCAGTGAGGGCCTCTGGGGAGGATCTCCACACGTCGCAGGTTATCCGGCGGGATGATCCTGGACTCCAGCTTCAGACACACACAGCGGCTGTTGTAACCCGCGCCGAGCGGCTGCACAGCTGAGGAAACACACAACGCTTAGGCCAACGAAGCAAAGTGTGACCAACAGCAGTTACACAACTCATGTGATTAATTAGTCTTGTGCAAACAGGGCTTTATAAAATAACAGCACGCAACAGTTTTGGGGAAATGTGAAGCAGTCACAGCACCAAGGAACCTGCCGAAATGCTGATGTTTATTTACAATGAAATTATGATGTACACACAATGTAAGAGAGTCTTGATTAATATTTGTCTTGCTGGAGAAATTGAAGCGAAGTATAGACAGATAATAAATGTGAAGCTTACCAGCGGACAGAAGGATGCTGGCTGCAATAACGGTGAGCATCAGGACGGCGTTCATGATGGGTGAAGCTTCTCGAGTAGAAACGCTCAAGATCTGATGGATTTACTCGTGCTGCTGTACGGCCTTATATATTATGATTTCAAAGGCCTCGTGATATGAAGTAGTGATTTTAACCCACTTCCCCTTTAACCGTTGTGTGTGTGTGTGTGTGTGTGTGTGTCTCTTCATTTGCGTGTGAAGGCTTGTGTGTAAATATGTGGTTTGTGTGTTCACATGTCTATCAGCCGTGTGTCATCTGGACGCATCTCATGTTCTACCGAGTTCGAAACCCCCTGCAGTCCCGAGCGGTTTGACCAAAGTCAGGGATTCTCATGCGTGACTCATATTAGTCTGCTTATTTCTGTATAGCCCAAATATTACATGCAACAAGTGTACAATATAGTATTATCTGAATATTAGAATTGATTTAGAAAAATCTATCTGTCTGTCTGTCTGTCTGTCTGTCTGTCTATCTATCTGTATGTCTATCTGTATGTCTACCTGTCTATCTATCTATCTATCTATCTATCTATCTATCTATCTATCTATCTATCTATCTATCTATCTATCTATCTATCTATCTATCTATCTGTCTGTCTGTCTGTCTGTCTATCTATCTGTATGTCTATCTGTATGTCTACCTGTCTATCTATCTATCTATCTATCTGTCTGTCTGTCTATCTATCTATCTATCTATCTATCTATCTATCTATCTATCTATCTATCTATCTATCTATCTATCTATCTATCTATCTATCTATCTATCTGTCTGTCTGTCTGTCTGTCTATCTATCTGTATGTCTATCTGTATGTCTACCTGTCTATCTATCTATCTATCTATCTGTCTGTCTGTCTATCTATCTATCTATCTATCTATCTATCTATCTATCTATCTATCTATCTATCTATCTGTATATCTGTATATCTATCTATCTATCTATCTATCTATCTATCTATCTATCTATCTATCTATCTATCTATCTATCTATCTATCTATCTATCTATCTATCTGTCTGTCTGTCTGTCTGTCTATCTATCTGTATGTCTATCTGTATGTCTACCTGTCTATCTATCTATCTATCTATCTATCTGTCTGTCTGTCTATCTATCTATCTATCTATCTATCTATCTATCTATCTATCTATCTATCTATCTGTATATCTATATATCTATCTATCTATCTATCTATCTATCTATCTATCTATCTATCTATCTATCTATCTATCTATCTATCTATCTATCTATCCGTCCGTCCGTCCATCTATCTATATCTGTCTGTCTGTCTGGCTGTCTATCTAATGTCTATCTATCTATCTATCTATCTATCTATCTATCTATCTATCTATCTATCTGTCTGTCTGTCTGTCTGTCTGTCTGTCTGTCTGTCTGTCTGTCTGTCTGTCTGTCTGTCTGTCTGTCTATCTATCTATCTATCTATCTATCTATCTATCTATCTATCTATCTATCTATCTGTCTGTTTATCTTTATGTCTGTCTTTCTATCTATTCTTTTTGAGACAAAGTAGTTAAACAATAACGGAGAAGTCTTTAAAAGAGTAGTAAGCTCTGGTGTGTGTGTGTGTGTGTGTGTGTGTGTATGCTTTGTGTGCAACAAGTCTGTTGTGCTGCTGACAGTGTGACGTTTATTCAGTGGTGGACTTGAGTAAAAGTATAGATATATCCTCATAAAACATTACTCCAGTAAAAGTAGTCATTTTCAATTTTACTCAAATAAAAATACAAAACTACTAGATTTGTATTAAAAGTAAACTGATCGATATTTAATAATTTGATAATATATATGTTATATAATCCCACCGTTTAAGAAGACTTGCCGGGTCTGACATCATCATGAGTTGTCAAGTGTCCAGCACTAGTCAGTAAGGATGATTAGTGGACACAGATAGGCTACATGTGTTGATTTGATCCGCAAGTGAGAAAACATTATTTTCCTACCAAAACTTGTCATACACTACTACAAAAACATTAAATATCAATTTGAGTTTTTTTTTTCCAAGGCATGTTTATAAAAGCCACGTCCACTAAGGACTAATCCAGGCTTAATCTCAGCCATATGAAACCAGGCCATAAGTGTTTAAAAATGAGGAAAAACAAAAAATCAGTTGACAAACAATTTAAACCGTTGTCACATATGGGAAAATCCCATAACATTTTAAGAACGCAAGCCATGCTAAATATATTTTGGGGAGGCGATTTATTTATGTATTGTTTTTAATGTATTATTTACTCTGCTCTAAGTAAAGCATTCACTTTAATAGCATAAAAACTATGTAGAAATTACTCCACAAACTTTAACTGGCCAAGTTAAAGTTACCTATTTTCTTTGTAAATTTAATTATTAACTTATCCATGCATGCATACATCCATACAATCTATAGGCATGCTCTATGTGATGCACATGTTTTTGTTTTCCAAATAATGGTCTAATCCTTCTTTCTCCTGCATGGTGAGAGACTGAACATAGCAGTTGCCATACAGAGGGCGTGAGAGAAGTTCATGTGAAGAAGAGTGAATCATTTTGTCTGGAGGATAAATCCGCCAAAAAAAAAAAAAAAAAATCAGCATTATGTGGCTAATGCATGAAGAAAAACGAGATTTTATACATAAAAATTCAAGTCGAGCTTCTGCACACGAGTCCTTAATGGATGACACTAGCAAGCAGTGTTGGGAGTAACGCATTACAAAAGTAATACATTACAGTAACATATTACTTTTTGCTGTAACGCAGTAGTGTAAGGCATTACTAATCAATTTTCAGTAATATTTTACTCGTTACATGTTCAGTGAGGCTTGTATTACAGTTGTATTACAGTGTATTGTCTGCTTTTACTTCTTAAAGGCAACAGACTATGTGAAAGTTTTAAAGCAGTCTTTTAGTGCCAGTTCAGAGCGGTCGCGTCTGTAACATTGTTTTTTCCTCATAAATGCGAACACGAAAACTAAAATAAAATGAATATTTTAAGTTCTATGGAGACTGCAGAGCCAACCCTTCCTCATCCGATTTGCGCAGTGTAATTAACAGAATTACAAAAAATATATTTTACCTCCTATTTTTTGTCACGCATGAATGTGTGTCTTTTCCCTAATATTAAAAATAAAACATAGACTGATATTTGTCTAATGTCTGTAGTCCTTTAAGGAAGTAGCCTATATAAGTTTCAATACATGTATTTTCTGAGAATTTTTATTTCAAGTTTTGACTGCAAATGTCCATAATGCTGGACTTCCCCAATTTTAAATAATTTATCCTCAACTAGTTTTGTGGTGTAGGTCTACGTATTTTATAATGTTAACTTCAAATAATACTAATAGCCTAATTTAAAGATAAGGCAGCATTGGATCTGGACGGTAAGGAGAATAACGCTGGAGTTGGAAGAGGTGTGTCGCGATTCTGTAGGTTCGTAGATCTGAGTCGTGTGGCGAATCGCGATTTTGGTTTCATATTGCATATCGTTACAGCCCAAAAGTTAAGTTCTGCTTTGTTATTTTGGTGAAAGTAACTAAAAAGTAATACATGAATAATGTAACGCATTACAATTCTGGGACAGTAATATTGTAAGGTAATGAATTACTTTTAAATAACAGTAACAAGTAATACCTAATGTATTACAGTTTGGAAGTAACTTGCACAACACTGCTAGCAAGTAATTTGATATCTGTCAATGAATCATTTGTGCACCATTAAGCATTTACGCACTTCAGAAAGAAGTCCGGCGGCAGATATGCAAGACAAAAAGGAGGATTCTTGCATCATCCATTACGTATTATGCAATCACAATTTTCCCAGGCATCAAAATATAAATAATGTCAGCTCACAAAACATGTTTAAGCAATAGTTCACCACAAAATAAACATTGTGAACATTTACTCATGGAAAATCAAATATGACTTTCTTTGGAATCAATTAATTTCACAAAAGTGATTTCTTATTTGCTGCTATAATTATCAATTGCCTTAATCTGAATTCACACACACACACACACACATATATATATATATATATATATATAGCCATCTTGAAGTGGACAAAGACCATTTTCTGAAGATTGTTAAAAACTTAAAAAATATATCTTTATTTTATGATTTCCACAAAAATTTCTATACTTTTTAAATGAAAAGTGCCATTTATGGTAAATAAGCAATAGTGCTTTCGGAAAATGTGCCGTGCCATTTGCCATCATGCAAGCATGTTTATCTATTCATCACTTTTAATGAGCAAGTCATCTGCATCCAAAGAGTTGTACTGACATTTGTGCAATACGAGACGATACAGTACATGTATATTTTGCATTGAACACCTGTATTTTTCACAGGACTCCAATAAACACCATAAGCTTTTGCATATAAACACAGATACGAAATTATCCTTCGATGATCTTTTTCACCCATTCATCATTGGGATTGAGGCAGGTCTGTCCTTGTTTCAGAGTGACACTGTGTAAGACAAAAAATGTTTGTGACCAATTAAAAAACAACATTAAATAGATTATAAGAGACAATATTAATTTCTTTGGTGCGTCACCCTCACATGATCTGCAGGGTTTTGCATTTTACTCCAGCAGGAATCGTCTGTATGTTCTGAATTAGTTTGGGATTAATTCGTTTTCCTGAATATGTCCCAACACACGGGCAGCGCAGCTGTGGAGCGATCAATCTAGCGAAGACTTCGTGAAAACAGAGCATTAATAATTCTTTCTATTTGCACCACTGATCTTTATTCGAAACGAGTGCCTTGACACATGACAATTTCAATCTAAATTTTAAACTTAATATTATCAAATTCAATTGATATTCCCAATAACATGCAGAAAATGCCTCTGCGTACCTTCGTTTGTACACAGCAGTGTCATGCAGGTCAGAAGAAGAAAGGCTGCAACATTGAACTTCATTGTTGTGAGATTTCGTGTAAGTGTGGGCTGTGTAAGCCGTAAAGCAGCTGCAATTCACTTTCCCGGTTGTCGACAGTGTTTTGAGGATAATCTGGCAGGACTTTCTGTTTTAAAGAACCGCACCACTGACATCATGCTTGTTTAAAGTGATTGCTCAATCTTGTGATTGCAGTGATCTTTCCCAGGTTCTGCTGAAGGCACCCATTTGCTTTAGACTTGTCTAAGCCTTTGTCATTTTTCACAGACGACTGATTTTCACCAGAAGTAACAAAGATCAAACGGGGATTGTGAAAAAAGAAAAAGAAAATGAAATCCATCATAATAATGCACCATACACCTAAAGTGTGGATTTCGGCCAGAAGTGGTAAAAGTACTCAAAAGTTATACTCAAGTAAAAGTATATACACCTAAATAAAACAAATGACTCCAGTAAAAGTAGAAAGTCCTCCATTGAAACATCACTTGAGCAAAAGTACAAAAGTATCCGATTTAAAACCTATTAAAGTACTGAAAGTACACTCAGAAAAATTATATGTTGGCTTTAATTAATTTTAATTTGTCAATAGGCTCCACATACCTGGATTACGTTAAGCAAACATAATTTGTTCATGTGACTTCAACATAATGGAATTATGTAATTTTAAATTACCCAATTTAAGTAGTCTCAACGTGAATTTTTAAAGGCTTCCTAAAATGAATCAACAGCATTTTATTATATTCATTAATCCATTAATATTTCATTAGATTCAGTGACATTTAATTAAATTGATCTATTTGCATTAGCATTTTAACAGCTTGAATGCTAAGATTTACATGCTCCTTCATCCAAAGTCATATAAAATAACGAAATCAGTCGACAGCCAAACAAAATGCTCCACTCTTCTCCACAATGGTAACCCACTGTAATTTAAATGATTTAATAATTCCAATGTAATTTAACATTAAACACTATTACACACTATCAAGTCTTCCCCTTTTCTAAATTTCTCAAAAAAAACATAAAATTTTAACATTTATTCCATCTTAATTCAACCATATGCAAAGCATGCTGGGAACTAAAAGCACTGCCCAGTTTCAGTTGAGGCAACACAAATCAATCATGTAATCCAACACAAACGGATTAAGTAAACTTAAGTTGTTCGTAGATTAAAGCAGATTGAACACAATAAAATTAAGTTCGGGCAAAATGGCAGTCGGCTCGCACTATACTGCCACCCTCTGGATGTACACATTTTTTTACTTAACATAAATGGTTTGTGTTTATACAACACATTAGGATTTTGTACTGTCAAGTTGAGACACAATTACATAGACCTTAATAGAAAAAAAAACATTTAAAGTAAAAAAAACACAATTATTATAAGTAAACTATGTATAAATATATTATGTAAAGTGCACAGTAAATATAATGTAAATATTAAAAAAATATAAAATATAATGTAAATATAAAAAGTAAATATTCAAATTAACTGTAAATATCAACAATTAAGCAGATCAATTGTTTTGGGAGTGATATGCAATGTTTTATTTGAATAAATGATAGGATTGGATACTGCAATTACGAATTTGTTAGCTAGCTGTTTACAAGGCACGTTTCAATATGCAATCACTTGGCTAACAATAGTAACATTAAGCAACACTAAATAACTTTTTATCTGCGGTCCCCCTACAGGTTAGAAGCGGCATTGTCCGTTACCGCTGTCATAATTTAGCTTTCCGCAGCCTACTGTCGCACACACGCTTGCTGTTTATCCAGCACCGGCTTTAGAGTGAATGATATCCAATTGTAACACTTGCCGTAAAGCAAGTCAGATTTGTAGTTTTCTTACTGTATGTCTCAATAAGAATGAAATTTAATTCAACCGTGGCAGACATTATTGTCTGTTATGTGCATTGCACTATGACCAAATACACTGTGGTTTAATCTAACATTCAATTACTTAGAGGTAACAGTAAGTCAACATAGAAAATGAAGTGAATCTGACCACCATGAAGGCTGATATTAAGCAGATGTGCACGAAAACATGAATCATAATTACCACAAACACACACAGAGCAAAGTTCAGCCTCAACTCCTAAGCAGGGATGTGTTTCCCGTACATCGATGTAACTTGATGCTTCACTAATATAGCAGGATGCATCGTTTAAGAAATCCATTGCATTTACATGTTCACATTTGGCAGATGCCTTATCCAAAGCGACTTACACATTTACATTCTTATCAATTCTTGCTTTCCCTGGGAATCGAACCCATGACCTTGGCGTTGCAAGCCACACTGCACGATTTTCACAGTAGTCGGGTGACTCGGGTCACTGACCTGTTCACACTGCAAGACTATCTGGGGTAACATTCAGTGGTGAACATTCACTGGTGTCCCAGACAGCAAACTGACATTGAATCAACGTGGAAACGACGTCTCTCATGACATTGAAACAACGTTGATTTTGCTCATCGAATTAACGTTGAACCAACGTCAGACGCGGCATTCTTCAAAGCTAAATGAAAATCGAAAATTGGTTTGCTTTCATAACGTTGAAACAACGCGTTGATTTCAAGTTGATTTTCCGTTAGTTTTGAAAGAATGTTCTCATTCTAAATATAGAATACTCGCTAAATATAGCTACAAAGTCGCTAAGTTGGCAACACTGGGTTTCACTTGCATGACTTCATAAGAAAGAATCGAGAATTTCTGTCTGACGTTGGTTCAACGTTAATTCGATGAGCTAAACAATGTCAGATCAACGTTGTTTCGATGTCATATTTCCACGTTGATTCAATGTCAGTTTGCTATCTGGGGTGTGTGTTGCACACATTTCACGATGGATCCGCGACAGGAGGTTTCACCAGTGTTGCCAACTATTTTCAAATGAAAGTAGCTCACGCCTTCCCTAAAAGTCGCTAAATGTCGCTAGATGATGTCATACGTTAATTAGCATATTCGTGACGTCATCGCGTCGTACTTGCGTTCCGCTTGCCTAATGTGTTTTCTCTATAAATTAATGCTCAGCTCACATATTGTATTTAATACAAAGTATATTATAATATAATATAGACGAATGTAAAATAAAGCTGTTCTCATTTTCTATATATTTTTGTCACACAAAACGAGTGATATAGTGAATGACAAAAAAAGTAATACAGCAAGCACAAGAAAAGAAAGGAAACTAAATTGTTTAAATAAAAAATATTATTATTTAAAGAAAGCAGATAAGTGATAGGTCCGTGGAAAAACACTGCTCATTCACCTCTGTCAATGGCGTTCAACAGATGATCTGCTCCTCTCAGCCATTCACTAAACAGGATAGACGTAGAGTGAATGAAAGCAAAGGGAGAAAAGCAAAAAGTCGGGATCTGAAAAGTCGCTAAAAATAGCGACTCATTTGCGCGATTGTTTTGCAGTTTGTACGCGGATGAGAACATCTCCTGCTCTGTCTGTCTACAGCTGGGAGGGGCTGCTGAGCGAGGACTGGGCTACCTGTGAGTGATTTGGGACGGGGTGGGACCCACGGCAGCACTCGCTGCTCGTTGAGATGAGGAAAAACGATATGTGATTTCACATCAGAGTCTCCAAAAGTCTCTAATAACACCAGAAAAAGTCGCTAGATTTGTCGCTAGTCGCTTTTTTGAAAATTTGCCGCCAGGGTGTCTGAATACTCGCTAAATATAGCTACAAAGTTGGCAACACTGGGTTTCACTTGCATGACTTCATAAGAAAGAATCGAGAATTTCTGTCTGGTCCGCAAACTACGTTTTATAACCAAACACATGCGAGAAGTGATAAGGCAATAACGCAAGATTGCGCGTGCGTGAGACCGAAGTTCTCGCCGAAGTATGAAATTGTTATTAAAAATGATAGCCCGCAAGAAGCAATCCAAATTGTCTATGCGCTGAGTATGCAGGAGGAAATGATTGGTGAGCCAGGACTGTGTGTTCTGCAAAGAGAGTAAAATATATTCTAGGGGTGTGACGCGATGTCGCAAGAAGACTACCCAGATAGCAAACTGACATTGAATCAACGTGGAAATATGACATTGAAACAACGTTGATCTGACATTGTTTTGCTCATCGAATTAACGTTGAACCAACGTCAGACGCGTCATTCTTTCAAAACTAACGGAAAATCAACTTGAAATCAACGCGTTGTTTCAACGTTATGAAAGCAAACCAATTTTCGATTTTCATTAGCTTTGAAGAATGCCGCGTCTGACGTTGGTTCAACGTTAATTCGATGAGCAAAATCAACGTTGTTTCAATGTCATGAGAGACGTCGTTTCCACGTTGATTCAATGTCAGTTTGCTGTCTGGGTAAAATATGACGAGATCTCCCGTTGAGTGAAAAGCTGTCTCGCGATATCGCCATGACTGAGCGTGAGGGTGAGATTACAATAGAATTTTCCACCGCTACACTCACATTGGCCCAAACTATCGTTTTACTGGTCATATAAAAAAATAAAAACCAGAGCTCGACATTAAGGCTTGTCCGGGACAAGTGGATTTTTTGTAGGACAAGTAGAAGAGAAAAATAGTTGTCCGACCGGACAAGTTCAATTTCAAATAAAATAAAATGCCACGTTACTTCACGTTATGTGCCACTCGTTACGTCTATTTTACAGATTTGATTTTACCGATTTGAAACGAACACATTTTTCGCGCTGCCTGTGAATGTCCTGAATGTGAGATGCCACAGAAAGACGCGCCAGAATAATGCACATGCACAGACCGCGGGCCAGAAGTTCTCTTTCGCGCTTGAACGAACATCAACAACACACACAATTAAGCCAAAATGTCATTTGTCGAGTATCTTCATAACATAAGAGCAGTCTTATGATGGACATAAAGAGTTGTGACTCGTGAGAGAATGAGGCGCGTGTGAGATCCGCGTCTCTGTCCACAGCGGCTGCTCTTAAAGGGCCAGCTACCAATAAAGCGTTCTGTCAGTAAAAGGGAACAGAGAAAATTACTCACTGCTCTTGACTAATGAACTTGTGTAGCTTTAATAAGGAGTAGTCTATATATAATTTGTAATTTATGCAGCGCAGACTGTTTGATAACTTTATTCAATTTCTGAACATGTCCTACCTGTTAGACAGTTAGACAATTTTTTATCCAGACATCAATGGCTTATTGATCATTATAGGTGTTATCAATCATTTAGTTGTTATTGCTAATTTCAGAATTATCACTAATCTCTGTGTGCGCATTTGGTTTAGAACCAAACAAGTTTACTCATGAAACCATTATATCGCAATCGCAATTTTGACCTCAATAATCGCAATATGACATTTTCCCCAAATCGTGCAGCCCTAGATAAAATTATAAATCTTTACCCAGACAAGTGACTTTTGTGCATGGACAAGTGAAACATAAATTTACTTGTTTGAAGGACAAGTGCCTTAAAAAGTTAATGTCAAGCCCTGAAAACCATTATAAACGAATATAAAAGTCGGACGTTGAAAAGACGTCCACTGAGGGGCCAGAATGACAGTTCTTATGACGTCTTTTTTTGACCTGTTCTGCACGTCTGATATTGACGTTAATGGATCCTTCATTCAAAGTCTAAAACTAGTTCAAATTTGTCAATTTTCAACATTATTTATGGTCTCATTTAGACAATTTATACTGTTTCTGGACCAAATAAACACTCTCAGGATGCATTAAAACTCATGTTTATTTAAATGTTTTTTTTTTCTCCGTACATTGTTTAGATTTTAATATTTGTTTCATTTTAAGTCACCATCGTAGTGATCAGTGTTTGCTTTAGTTGGGCTCTTGATCCCAGTTTTCCTTACTTTAGCTTTCTTTGGCTGTTGTAACTGCGTGTTTGTATGACACCATTGTTGTGGCAGAGAAAGCCAAGGAAATGAAAAATTGGCTGTCGTCAGCTCCTTGTTGATGATGATAAAATCAACACAAAGTGAACATTTGACATTGCGTTTAGGTTTTTGTGTTGATATCTGTAATTTATAGCCACCAATCGTGTGGGACTGCATTACAATCATCACTTATTTGAAGGTGGATAAAAAGTATGTTTACACAATGTTTTGGGAAAAAGTCCCATATAGTCTCACACAGACATCAAGATTTTGCATATGAGTCACAACAATGGTGACAAAAAAAATCATGCTGCAATGCATGATGGGTAGCATTCATAGTAAAAAAACATCCTTGATTCCCAAGCTTTTTTGTTTTGGTTGTCACCATTGTTGTGAATCATATCCAAAACCTTGATATCTGTGTGTGACTACGTGATATATTCGTTTTTTTCACGATTCACTATCCAAATAATGCAGTTCCACAAGATTGATGGTTATAAAGATCAAGTATAAAGACAAACGTTTAAACACTGTTAAATACTTGTTTTGTCATAATCAACAAGGAGCTGATGTCAGCTGATTTGTCCTTTTCTTGGCTTTCTCCACACAAAACAATGGTGCTATAGAAACACACAATTACAGCAGCCAAAGAAACGCTGAAGTAAGAAGATCTGGGACCAAGAGCCCAACTAAAGAAACAAATATCAACATCTAAACCCCATCTAAACAATGTAAATAAGCATGAGTTTTAATTTAATGCATCCTGAGAGTGTTTATTTGGTCCAGAAACAGTATAAATTGTCTAAATAAGACCATAAGTTATGTTGAAAATATGTCCACAATAGTCACATTTGAACTAGTTTTTAAACTCGTACGAAGGTTCGATGGGACGTGCTGAACACATCATAAAAAGACGTCATAAAAAAACTTTCATTCTGGCTCCTCATTGGACATCTTTTCAACGTTCGACTTTTGTGACTAAAACGTTGAAAATACGTCTTTTGGACATCATTTTGCTTAGTGGGACAGTTCACTATTCGAGCGACGATGGCGGAGGATTCGTTGCGCAACACAGACTAAACGTCTCATAAACGTCTTCTCTCACACACAGCCTCAATCAGAAGTTCGGAAAGCTCTTAAATTTTCAGTAAGGTCTGAAGAAGAGACTCATGTGAAATCAAACAGGAGAAAAGCCAGTCAATAAAAACCTTTTACAGTGCTTGTATATTGTTTTCTTTCAATGCATTTGATAATTCATACTCATAAGTAGACCTGAAATGACATGCATTAAAAGACTATTAGTTAAAACATTGCAAAATGCACCTGCACACTATTTTTCCAGTCATGAATTTTGTCATTGGGGATTTCTGAAAAATTGTGCCAAAATCTCGTCTCGTTCTCGTGAACCCAATCTCGTGTCTCGTCTCGTTTCGTGAGATAAGCGTCTCGTCACGCCCCTAGTATATTCCCCTTAATATTTACATTTTTTTACCACACCTTACCATTAAGGTAAATAAATAATTTTGCAATGTTGCTGCTGGTCAATCAAATGTTTGTGCTTTGTTTCTGTTCATATCTATTAAAATAATGATATTGTGGTCTGTAACTTCACCCCAACTCCCCACTGCCCTGTTTCTTGCTCTCTCTCTCTCATTGGATGTAAAGTACCGATTTGCCTATGATTTCGCGCATTTGTCGGCGAAACCCGTCAGGGGGTGAAAATCGTGCGGTGTGAACTCGGCATAATGCTAATACTAGTGCTAATGATGCACTGCGCTACTTCCGACGTCATAACTTTATAGACTGCGTGTGGCCGTTAGTCCGGTGTGGTGAAGAGATGAGTCCCACTGAAGAGATGGGTCCAAGCTTAGGACCTCATTAGTATGCCTGATCTAAATCTGTTCTTGCGATAACATGTGTGAGCTGTTTTGGCGTCATGTGTAGCTAATTCCCGCTGCTATGTGCAAGATAAGATGAAAAATAAAAAATAAAAGCTGTTTGTTGCCATCAAGTAATACATTTATTTGGATAGCGCTTTTCATAGTAGGTTGCGTCTATAGCGGAGGGGAAAAGCCCGCGAAATTTAAAAATACTACTTTTATTGTGTCACGAAATTTAGTTTTGAGAGTTTTTCGGTCAAGAACTTTAAACATACAAGTTAAAAGACATAACGTAGTTGTAATGGGGCTCTACTGGTTGTGAAAATTTGTCACCAATATGGGGTGTCTAATCAGGACACGGAAGGAAGGCAGGAATACTTGTTGAAAGGTTTAATGTATACTTTCCTAATACAGATGCACAGGCACTATTTCTTATATAAACTTTACTGTGTAGGTGTGGTTCTAAAGAAAAGGAAATAAACATTGAGGTCAACTAACATAACACAATTGAGGCTAATACTCTCTCTAGTCATTTAAATAAACAGGGCTAAACAAGTCCTGAAATGTGAACTTCAATAAGAAAGCAATACAATCTACACATATAGAAAAAGGCTGTTACTGACATTAACATCAAATGCTAATATTAACTTATTAAAGGGATACTCCACTTTTTTTGTAAATAGGCTCAACTTATAATCTATGACATAATTTATAACTAATGATAACTTACTTGTGGTCACTGACGCACACAAACACAACCTGAAGCTTATCTTGCATAGTGAAACTAAACTGAATGCTGTTCTCTGCAAACCAGGGCATTTCTCAACATGTCAGAAAAGAGGCATGGTCTGATCGATCACTCGCTGTTCGCGGTTCACGTCACTTGATCCTTTTGCACAGTAGTTCAAACGTCTTCTATAATAAAGTGATTTTCTCTGATTTGTAACCAGGCACTAAAGCGATTACCCATAAAACTAGCTTTGAACCAATCGGATTGCTTGGGTCCTAAGCTGGGACTCATCTCGTCACCACACCGGAAGCTAGAATTATACTTTTTAACGTGTTAAATATGAATATTTTCTTACAGAAACTCATCAATTTGCTTCAGAAGGCCTTTATTAATGCATAGGAACCATGTGGAGTTTGTTTATAATGCATGGATGCACTATACTTTTATTATTATTATTATTATTATTATTATTATGGGTTCTGCAGAATAAACTCATACAGGTTTAGGAGGGAATAATACTGAATTCATGTTGTAATGTACAGTAACCTGGTAATGTTATTAAGTATGATAAAAAACACCCAAAATATCCATTATGACAATTGAAACATCTTTTATTGCAAATATAAGCTCGTCATTATTCAAAAACAATGCAAATCAACATATAAAAACTATAATTCCATGTGACAATTATAAATACAAAATAAAAAAACATGGTCAGAAAAAAAATTACAGTAAAAATATAAAAATAAATTCACAGTTTATAAGCAAAAGAATGCTTTCACATTCGATACTCGATACCTCAAGAGACGATAAATCCAAATAGATAAATTCTATCTTACAGTAGTAACAGTTGAATTAATCATTTCCGTAACGTTGCTCTCTGTGACGTTTCTTTTGTTAAACCTGCAAACATGAAGAGACACACAGTACATTACAATCTGCAGGATTAATTAAAATGATTCATAAGCATGATTTGATTTAACTAATAATAAGCAGATAATAAAAGCAACAGATCATCACACAAACTTACTCTTCCTTGACAGAAATCACCCAGTCAGCTTTAGGATTGAGACACACCACTCCTTTCTTCAATGTAGCACTGGAAGAAACAAATGTACGATTATTTAAAAAAAAAAAAAAAAAATTACACGTGACATTCTGATAAGTCATGACTTTATCGTTAAATGAAGTTCACCCCCCAAAAATAAACATTGTCTCGCCCTCATGCTTTTCTAAATACGTATGACTTTTTCTTTTTCTTCTGTGAAAGCATTTATTTATAGCAGAATATCCACACTGCTCTTTTCCAGCTCAGGCTTTCTGGTGAAAATAAAAGCCATACAGGTTTGAAACAACATCAAGGTGAGTAAATTATGTTGTTGGCTTTTATTTTCACCATTTCACTCACTCATCGTCAGTTATACATTTTCACATGCTACCAGCCTCGCTCATGATCTTAAAGACCTTTTAATATGAATGCTTAAATAATTAAAATAAGTGAAAGAAAAGCAACAAGTGTCCACCACACACGTAAACTCCTGAGATGATGAAGAGAAGAAGAGCAAGAAGCAATAATGAGTGTGTATTTGAAGTGTTGTTTAAGTCAGTTTCACACTCACATGATCTCCTCATTTCTGCATTGTGGTCCAGCAGAAATCACCTTCAACGAGAGGATTCTTCCGGCAGGGATTGGTTTTGAGTGTGTTTGAATGCACCGGCAGCGCATGTTCATGAGAGGTGTTCCTGCAGTGACAGAGAGGGAGAGTTGGTGTAAATATCTGCAGATGATTTGATTTAAAACACCGTCATGAATGTTATATTCTGCTCACCTTCTGTTGTGGACAGCAGAGCGGCGCTGCAGATCAGAAACACGACGGCTGTGACGGTGAACTTCATCATCCTGAATCAGTGTTGTCCAGAGGAATGCCAGTAAAGTGTGAAGTGAGCGTCTGCTGGTGTCGAACACAGGTCTGCACTCTCCCTTTTAAAGAGAGAGACTCGTCACTCGACACGAGAGTGTGTTGCGCAATTAGCCTACGGTTACGACTAATCTTCTCTTCCAAGGAACGCTCTCTTTCTCGCTCTCGTCTCTAAATGGCCATTGTTCAATTGCAATTTCATTTACAGGCAATCATAAATACTTCTTAATCCGATCAAACCCACTGTATCATATTTAAAACTATTTTCTGAGGTCTCTAAATAATCAACATGATTATAACTTTGCTGAAACTTGCAGTTGCACACAATCTAATGCAGTCCTTCTGTCGTCTGATTGATAGTTCATACTTTTTGGGCAAGTAAAAGGCCTTTTAGTGTGATTGTAAAAATTCCAGCTTGTGGTTCTTTTTTTGCTGTGAAATCTGCACTGATTTTTTTAAAGTAAACATAAGATTAAGTTTAGTGATATTTCAAGATTTGCAAGACCGAAGCAACTTTAGGTTTACTAAAAAAATATCCATCAGGCTTTTGAGGAATGTTTATTTGTTCATCTCTCAATCATTATTGTGTGATTCAAACTATAGAGATTTGATTATAAAACTATTTACATATCTAATTGTAGGCCAAGACATATTGGGAGATATTGTTATACATATATCATTTATTTGCATTTCAAGCTTTCAGAATTTCGAAATAAAAAAGGTCAGTTTGGGTCTCTGAACAACATTTGAGTCCATTTGAGTCTATTTTGACACATAAAAAATAAATAAAAATAAAAATTATATATATATATATATATATTGTATTTTAATACGAAATCTTTTAAGTGTGTTAAGATAAATATCACCTATTTTATTTATATTTTTGAACAACCCTTTAAACTAAATTGTTCCACCTTTTGCGTTCTGGTTCGTTTTGACCTGAAAGTGAACCGTGGCTTTACACACTTTTTTCATCTATTAGTTATATATTCTGTATTTTTAAAAATACATCAAGCCTCTTTTTTACGCTCATACACACGTTTGTTCCTTCCCTCTGGGCCTGTGTTTTGTTAAGAAACATATCTGTGAAAACACACAATAATTCTCACGAATAGGCCCTACACACTATTATTCTGGAAAAAAAAAAAAAAAAAACTGAAACAAATTAATTTGTAGAGCAAACATAGACCAACATTTAATAGTAATATTGATGTTTTAGAAAAATATTGTAGGTTGCATAAATTTAAATTTGCTATAAATTAAATCCATCATATTTGTGGTTACCGACATTCTTCAAAATATCTTTGTGTCCAGGTGAAGAAAGAAATGCATACAGGTTTAATCAGAGCAACTTCAGGATGAGTAAATGATGACAGAATTATAATTTTTGTGTGAAGTTATTATGAATATTTTATACATTTATATGCTCCGCCGGGTCCAAACACACATAAAAAACAAATCACATATACTCTAACATAAATATTGGGCCAACATGCATGGAAAAACCTTTTAAAATTATATTTCAGGCAATTGGTTTGTTGCGTCGGCCAAACTTCAGTAAAGCGTAAGTTTTGTTGCATTTGTCATCTTCCTCTTTTATCAGTATTTTTTTGGAAAACCATTGCAACAGTGCAAAAGTAGTGAAACTGCTCATGACTAATTGAAATAGTCCAAGCAGTTTAAAAAAGAGGAAATGTCAGAGGTGAACAAGTCCCCTAAAGGTAACAGATGACATTTTCAGATGTGCACAGCTGTGCAATCGGGAATTGGATGGGAACTTGATTGTGAATTCAAAAGAGCGTTTGTGCCAAGATCAGCTACGGTTTCCTTAGTATTATTTTCAATCTCAGCCACAGATAACAATGTTAACATAGACATGCAGCACCAATTTCTGCTAGTTTACAAGTAAGTGTGTAAACAGAAGTGTCATCACCTTTCCACTGAATAGCTTCTATATGGCCTATATAGAAAAAAGGAAACTTTCTCACCTCCACCCCCGTTTATTGAGCTCTTTGTTGCGTCAACTCCAGACTTCCAGATTGTGACGGAGTCGGATGACATATGAGGAATCTAGGCATGTGAGAACAGGTATCAGAGATCATATATCAGAAATCAATTCAAGACATAGCGTGGTATAACTGTGTCAGTAAATCACACACATCTAACCGAAGCACAACGAAAACATTCATCTTTTTACCCACATCAATTATTAATTCACCCACAAAGTTTAGTCATATTAACTCATCCACATCCAAACCTAAATGTCACTCTCCCATAGAAAACAACAGCTTTAATCCTGCTCATCATTAGTCCCGTTCCATTAAAGCTGTACCTATGACTTGTGCTCTATATTAATGTTTTTTTTTTATTATTAGTAGTAAATCAAATTAAATTCATGTCAGTTACACGTAATGTTGTCATATTTTCCTGTTAAAACACAAAGACACCAAATAAGACTAGATTTCGTATAGCCTAATATGTAATTAATATATATTTTTTAATTAACACCAAGTATAAATCTCATCAAGTTAGTGTTTGTAGGCATTTTTACATTTATTCAAAAATAATACCTCAATGCCGTAACAATTTAAACAATATATTTTATTTGTGATGTTAAACTCAGCTGTTCTAATAGTCAAATTATTTTCATCAGTCACCAAGCTCGGTAAACACTGATCACAGACAAGATGTAGATACCTTTAAAATTTCACCAAGCTTATTGCTCACTAAGAACCCACATTCACCATGTTTTCAGGTGTTATTTCCAAGAAAGAGATTGAAAAAATCTCAATTCCGAGCTGTCTAGAAAGCATTTGTTTCATAGACTGTGAAAAAAGAAAGAAAGATTGACAACACACCTTCACCCTCACCGACCCTCATCCATTGTAGATTGAATCCAACATGGCGCTGACATCTTGCGCGGACCAGTAGCGAGAGTCGCGTTATCAAGGCCCCGCCCAAACGATGACGGTTTACTGCAGACCAACTCATTTGTAAAACAAACAGTGTAAAATAAATAGTTCTGGACATTTTATGGCTTATCCCCATTGGATACATAGCCATTAGATGGATTTAGAATTGTAGACATTGTGAGAGTTTATAAATCAGGAGATTAGGCTTCCTCTATAAAACAATGGCTGATTAATCTGTTCTGCAGTTTATTAAGCTAAATTAATGTCAGAAAATGAAATAAAAACTTCTGTTACAATATAGACTGTTTTTCTTGGGTTAATGTTGCTCTTAAAGGGATAAAGGGTATTTTCAAATCATTGTGCTTTCCACCCTCATATCCCCCTGAAACGAGAGATTTATGTATTTTTTTGTCTGGAAAAAGTCCTCAGATGACGCAAAAATCGTCATTTTGCGTCATTGGAGGATTTTTTGTCCAGAGGCTAAAGACTACAGTCAGTAGTAGGGTCTGTCCCGCATGTTCTCAACCTGCCCATAGAGGGTGATCTCACTCACAGAATGAACACATAGGGCCCTTTTTTAACGATCTGAAACGCAAGTGTCAAAACGCAAAGCGCAAGTAACTTTGTAAGTAACTGTTGCTATTTTAACGGCGGGATAAATGCCTCTTGCGCCTGGCGCAAATCTAAAAGGGGTTGGTCAGAAGTAGCTTCATTATTCATAGGTGGACGTAACGGAAACAAACCAATCAGAGCGTCATATCACATTTGCTTTAAGAGCGTGATGAACGAGGTGCGCTTGTTCCATGGTGCAATACTATTATAACGGCGCATTTACCAGGCGCGCTTCAGAATCGGTTCACAGCCGAGGAGATCGATGTTCTCGTCAGGGCCGTAAAGAGAAGTGACATTGGGGATGGGACAAACCCAATCAAATTTCTTCAAAACTAACGGAAAATCAACTTGAAATCAACATCGTTTCAACGTTAGGAAAGCAACTGCGTCGATTTTCCGTTAGTTTTGAATAATGGCGCGTCGACGTTGACGTCAGATCAACGTTGTATCAGTGTCATGTTTCTACGTTGATTCAATGTCAGTTTGCTATCTGGGAATGATACAAGCGTCGGTGAAGACATTTGCGCTGGGTGCAAGAGAGGGCCCATAGTGTCGGCCAACTTTTTTTGGAAGCTAAGCAAGCAGGCTCTTGTTCTGTGGAGAAAGCTGAGTAGTAGGGGTTACCAAACAGTCAGTTCTCGTAATCATTGTGTTGAATGCAGGAGAAATAGGCAGGAATAAAGATCTGAGAAACTTTGACAAGGGACAAATTCTTATGGAAAAGTATATGTCCACTCTGGACCCTTGCCAGTTCGCGTACAGACCGAACAGGTCTACAGGCCATCAGCACAAGGAGGTGGCTGGCCTTGTGAAATGGTGTCAGGAAAACAATCTCTCCCTAAATGTTAGTAAAACAAAAGAGATGATTATTGACCCACGGAGGAGGAGAAAGTTTTCTTGGTGTTCACATATCTGAGGATGTCTCCTGGACTTCATCACACCTGTGAGGAAATCCTGACAGCGCAATTACGCCATCTCGTGGCCGTTTGTATAATACCAACAAGAAGTCCAGTTTCTCAAACGCTTGTCAACCGCTGGTTAGGGGAGATATAAAGTCAATAAAAGACGCAGGACACGGAGCTGTTGCAATATCTTCAGAGTCTCTGTATTGTCTGACATTAATGCAAATATTTCTGCATTCTCATATGTCAATAATAAAACATATAACAACATATCTCTTAAGAGAAAAACACAATATAAAGAACAAATATAGTATTACTTACATACAGATTCGCAACAATAGGTAGCCTACTGTTTTCACCAATTAAACAAATAATTTCAATAGAAACTTGAATTATAATGTTTACATTAATAATACTTCCGAACAGATATGGCATACACTTTACTCTACATTTTAAACATATGTGCCGTTTACCATATCTTTAACTCTTTTAAACTTCTTAATTAGCTCAAGAATTAGAGCATGTCAGCAAAACTAATTATAGTATTACACATTTACACTTTCTCTTATGAAATTTTCTAGATTCATTTTCTTTAAACATTGTCACCTGTAACTTAACTTTTTAAATTAGTTCTCAAAAACACCAATATGGTATTAATTATTCACTCCGTTTTCACATTTTTATGACCGCATGGTCTCTGCCATCAGTTCACCAGCTGTACACGTGATACACACGCGGTTAACTTGAACCGAACTTTTATATACATAATGAATACACATCAACAATGACATTGCCATTTTTTCACAGCCTTAACTTACATAATGTATATTTCCTCTACAATTTACTCATATCATACCTGGTTAGATGTAAACAACACTGGTCCAGAAGCACTTCCTGTTTAAGTTTTTTAACACTACATAAAAGCTGGGATAAAATACAACCAACAGAACATTTAAAACTGAATCAAAAAGTTAAACAATATTTAACATGTGAAATAAAGAAAACAGTTACAAACTGAAACAGGAAGTGTTTCTGGACCAGTGTTGTTTACATCTTGCAAAATGGGCTATATGCACGCATAAGTTCCGCATTTGACGCAAGGATGCTCGTCCATTTCCGGTTGTGGAGGAGAACCGAGGAAAACGGGATTATGGCAGAGTCTTCAAAATTTACTGTCCTCCCGTCTTTGAAACGAAACGTACATACGTTTAGATGTAATTTTATATATAGTTATGTTTATTTAATATAATTTTAAAAAGAAGCATAAACACAACCCAGATAGCAGACTCACATTGAATCAACGTGGAAATATGACATCGAAACAACGTTGATCTGACATTGTTTTGCTCATCGAATTAACGTTGAACCAACGTCAGACGCGTCATTCTTTCAAAACTAACGAAAAATCAACTTGAAATCAACGCGTTGTTTCAACGTTATGAAAGCAAACCAATTTTCTATTTTCATTTAGCTTTGAAGAATGCCGCGTCTGACATTGGTTCAACGTTAATTCGATGAGCAAAATCAACGTTGTTTCAATGTCATGAGAGACGTCGTTTCCACGTTGATTCAATGTCAGTTCGCTGTCTGGGAACGAGGGGTGTCTGTTTTATCTGTTTTTGTGACTAACGTTTCTTTAGTATAACCATGGAGTATAAAATTCAATATAAATTCTCGGTATTGCATTGGACTCTACGATCGGCGGAAGTTATCGAGCATCCTTAATCCTTCACTGGAAATACCCCCGTGCATAGACCAACGCTACTTTTGCGTCATCGAAGGGTAACGCCCCCTTTTGGGGGAAAACACCTCTATACTGTCTATGGGAAAACAAACGGATTCCCATGAGAACAGAACTCGCACTAGATCTGCAAAGTTTCTTGATATCAAAAATGGCACAAACTTATAGAAGCTAACGTTACTGAATACGGGGTTACAGAGGTGTCCCTTTGAAATGGTCGAAAACTGGATTAATGACCCCACACAGCGGCCAAATATGGACTATTCAGACATCTAACGATACCACTATCTCGTGGAATCACCAAGTAAGTAGCCTTTTTTTTCATTAACACTCACAGTATGACAAACTAGACGATGAATGGATCATATTTAACTTGATTTAAGCTATTGACATAGTCTAATAAGGTAACGTTAGCTGCTAACAGCTAGTCTTTCTAATAGCTAGTCGACAACAAAACTGTCAATAGCTTAAATCAAGTTAAATATGATCCAAGTGACATGGCCTCATCGTCTAGTAGTTTGTAATAGGCTACTGTGAGTGTGTAAATGATAAATAAATAAAAAAGGCTACTTACTTGGTGATTCCACGAGATAGTGGTAACGTTAGATGTCTGAATAGTCCATATTTGGCCGCTGTGTGGGGTCATTAATCCAGTTTTCGACCATTTCAAAGGGAAACCTCTGTAACCCCGTATTCAGTAACGTTAGCTTCTTTAAGTTTGTGCCATTTTTGCTATCAAGAAACTTTGCAGATCTAGTGCGAGTTCTGTTCTCATGGGAATCCGTTTGTTTTCCCAATTCCCATTGACAGTATAGAGGTGTTTTCCCCCAAAAGGGGGCGTTACCCTTCGATGACGCAAAAGTGGCGTTGGTCTATAGAGCCCATTGTCTGAGCAGCGCGCGCGCCCCTCCCCATGTGAAAATCCCAAGGCAAAAATAATCAAATGATCGATCATCTATACAAGGCCAGGAATACCAATCGCCATCACCCACAATCATACACTCTGCATTTATGACATTCCGTTTATTTTTAATGACAACATATTCTGATGACACTAAATATTCTTAATTTTATTTTCTCTTTTACTTTATATAACCACCACACTAGCTTATTATTTTAATTTGACCACGCCCACGCACGCAAAAGAGATTGATATGCAAATCTCCACGAAGGAACGCGAATGAGCTCATTACCTAAAAACCAAAGCACCTAACTTCAGTCCTCTGCTTTTTGTCGAGTTTGGAAGACACACAGTGATCTTACATTGGATTTACCTCAGAAGAATGTGATTTAAATACAAGATTTAAGGTAAGAAATGTTTTATGAGTTAGATTAGTTAGTGCGATTGTTGCATAAACTTAACATTCCAGTTGAGCTGTTGCTAGACTAAAGGATGTTTTTATGTTTGATATTAAAACACAGCATGATGTTTTGCCAGTATCAGTGTTTACTCTAATATGATGTATGTTTACTGTTAAATATCCATATATTTTTCAATTGTACTGAAGTGTTCCTTTTTAACGATTTATAGGCTGCATGCTATAGGCTATTAGCTATTATTGGGAATTAAAATCGCCCCACATCATCACATACCCTTCCCCATACGTAGAGATGTGTTGCATGCTGCTGCTGACATATTATTGTAGCAGAGTTTGTGAATACAGTGTAATAAGACTTTAGTAACAGTAACAGAAATAAGCACAAATGTCAGAACACCTCCAGGACCCAGAAAACACCTCAGACCCCAGAGGGTAGTTTGTGGACAGGTTTATATTGCAGTTATTAACGTAGGAGCAGTGGATGTTAACCTATATGCACAAACCGTTCTTGGTACCAATAGTGTTTGACGCAATCCGAACCAGCAGGCACCTTCATATTGATATCATTCTTTTGGGTTTAATTCTTTTTGGGGAATTTTATTATTTACTTTCCTGGACGGAGAGGTAACCTACTGTATGTCTGAGTGTGATGGTTCTAGAAGCACCAACTGCAGTCCACTCTTTGTGTAATCTACAGTAACTAGTAATGTTTTTTCGAGATGACAAAATAAGACACAACAAAAAATCTATTTTGACATTTAAAACATCTTTTATTGCTAAGTGTCATCATTAAAAAAAAAACAATGCAAAACTTTGATTAACCTATACAACTACAATTCACTGAGGTAATAATAGATGTAATAAAAAAATAACAAGGTCAGAAAAAGTTACACAAAAAAAAACATAAATTCCCAGTTTATTAAACAAAAGCATGTTTTCACATTCGATGCATCAATTATCACCAAGAGATGATCAATTAAATTCTTTATTACAGAAGTAATTGTTGTAATAGTAATCATCATTTCCTTAAGTTGATTTAGTCAGTGGAGTGGAGTTATCGGTAGTGAGTGGAGTGGACTTATCGGTAGTGAGTGAAGTTAGTGGAGTGGAGTTAGTAAGTAGAGTGGAGTTAGTAAATAGAGTGGAGTTAGTCAGTAGAGTGGAGTTAGTCCTCTTGTAAATCCTGCAAACATGAAGAGACACACAGTACATTACAATCTGAAGGATGAAAGGTTCAGCAATGTCCGAGTTTAAATGAATTAAAATGATTAATTTGCATGATTTGATTTAACTTAAAATAAGCAGATAATAAATGTGACAAGTCATCAGACAAACTTACTCTTCCTTGAGAGAAATCACCCAGTCAGCTTTAGGATTGAGACACACCTCTCCTTTCTTCAAGGTAGCACTGAAAGAAACAAATGTACGATTTTTCAAAATCTATAAAATTCCTTATTTTAAAAGACCGATGTAAAGAAAAAATATGTGACTGTCACGGTCTGTGTGCAGGCAGAAGAACAGGCTCAGTCCAAAAACTCCAATACAAAGCTTTACTCAAAATCAATATGGTACAGACTGGCAGGCAGAGGGTACACGCACAAACTCAATAACATGAACAACGACCGACAAGGACAGACTGAACAGAGGCAAACTAAATACAAGCAATATTCAAACATAACAAGGTGCAAACAGATGATACAGATGAACAAGACGCTGAACAGTGGCTGATTGAGGAAGTGAGTTCAGGTGTGGAAACAAGAGGATCCTGGGAAGTGAAGTGCAGATGACAAAGACAGGCTGGTGCAGACGAAGACTGTGACAGAGTGCCCCCCTTTACAAAGGCGCGACCTCACGCCGTAGAACATCAATGGGGTGGGGGGGTGGGCGCCCTGGAGGCTGACAAGGGCGAGGCCGATCTGGAGCAGGAAGCCTCCAGGGCGGAGCAGGCTGAGGGCGTGTCCAGGGCGGAGCAGGGCGTGGACGTGGCGAAGCAGGCTGAGGGTGTGACCAGGGGCGGAGCAGGATGTGGACGTGGCCAGGGCCGATCAGGACGTGGCGCAGCAGGCTTAGGGCGTGGCCAGGCCGGAGCAGGCTGAGGGCGTGGTCAGGGCGGAGCAGGCTTAGGGCGTGGCCAGGGCGGAGCAGTCTGAGGGCGTGGCCAGGGCGGAGCAGGCTGAGGGTGTGGCCAGGGTGGAGCAGGCTGAGGGTGTGCCCAGGGCGGAGCAGGACGTGGCCAGGGCGGAGCAGGCTGAGGGTGTGGCCAGGGCGGAGCAGGACGTGGACGTGGCGGAGCAGGATGTGGCGCAGCAGGCTTAGGGCGTGGCCAGGGCGGAGCAGGCTGAGGGCGTGGCCAGGGCGAAGCAGGCTGAGAGCATGGCCAGGGCGGGGAAAGGCTGAGGGCGTGGTCAAGGCGGAGCAGGCTTAGGGCGTGGCCAGGGCGGAGCAGTCTGAGGGCGTGGCCAGGGCGGAGCAGGCTGAGGGCGTGGCCAGGGCGGAGAAGGCTGAGGGCGTGACCAGGGCGGAGCAGGACGTGGACGTGGCGGAGCAGGCTGAGGGTGTGACCAGGGGCGGAGCAGGATGTGGCGCAGCAGGCTTAGGGCGTGGCCAGGGCGGAGCAGGCTGAGGGCGTGGCCAGGGCGGAGCAGGCTGAGGGCATGGCCAGGATGGAGCAGACGAGAGGCTTGTTCGACTTCATGCAGCTCTGCGCAGACCGATCGGTAGCTGACTTGAAGCAGTGCACGCCGGTTAGAAATTTTGTCCGACTTGACGCAGCGCTGACTCCACGTGACTGTGACATATGCCATCAAAGTACCGCGAGAGCGGTACGAGAGTAGCCGGAGGACTCAGCCAGCGCAGCTTCTCAAGAGCGGCTGCACGAGCTCTGATGATGTCACAGCTGTTCCACGATTCGCCGGATTCAACGCATGACAACGATCACGTGCGTTTCGTGTTTATTCTCATACATTTAGTTCCACTAAAGCTCACAAATCAGTTTTTTTTTATAACAGTAAACAGTCTTTTCATGTAGTCGCGATGTTATATTGTGTCATGCTTATCATATTATGAAAATAAAACTGATTAAAAAACGTTGACTCCACGTCATTGAATTGGCTTATTTTGAACTTTATTCTAGTTCAAACAGATGCTGTATGAAGCAGTAACCTTTTGAATGAAAATGTGTCTGAAATATCTGTTTATTTGGCAAATGTTGCATTTATTTCACATAAGCTGTTGTAAAGCATGCAAACACCACGTGAGCGGTCACTACGGGAACCAGAAAGTGTCCGACTTCACGTCTCCGTTTGCAGCTCCTCCCCGCCTGCACGCGGCTGTTCTCGCCGATCGGTTGCATCCAGCCGCAGGCGATGTCGAACACACCTGAGCCCTCGAGCGTCCAGGGCGGAGCTGTTGGACCCTCGGGCGTCCAGGGCGGAGCAGGCTCGAGGGTGTGACCAGGGGCGGAGCAGGATGTGGACGTGGTCAGGGCCGAGCAGGCTGAGGGCGTGGCCAGGATGGAGCAGACGAGCCCTCGAGCGTCCAGGGCGGAGCTGTTGGACCCCTCGGGCGGAGCAGGCTGAGGGTGTGACCAGGGTGGAGCAGGATGTGGACGTGGCCAGGGCGGAGCAGGATGTGGCGCAGCAGGCTTAGGGCGTGGCCAGGGCGGAGCAGGCTGAGAGCATGGCCAGGGCGGAGCAGGCTGAGGGCGTGGTCAAGGCGGAGCAGTCTGAGGGCGTGGCCAGGGCGGAGCAGGCTGAGGGCGTGGCCAGGGCGGAGAAGGCTGAGGGCGTGACCAGGGCGGAGCAGGACGTGGACGTGGCGGAGCAGGCTGAGGGTGTGACCAGGGGCGGAGCAGGATGTGGCGCAGCAGGCTTAGGGCGTGGCCAGGGCGGAGCAGGCTGAGGGCGTGGCCAGGGCGGAGCAGGCTGAGGGCATGGCCAGGATGGAGCAGACGAGCCCTCGAGCGTCCAGGGCGGAGCTGTTGGACCCCTCGGGCGGAGCAGGCTGAGGGTGTGACCAGGGCGGAGCAGG